TGGTTTCCTAAACCCTGGTTCTGGGCTCTGTGAAATGACTTTTGTTGGTCAATTGGATGTTAATTAGAGGTGGAGCAAGCAGGGGCTTGAAATGTGCTTGCATTCTTGATCATCTGCCACTGCCAAGGGCATGTACTCTGGCCAGCCTAATGGTCCATGGAGCATGTGAGAATATGTAACACAATCAGACCCAAGTTGCTGCTTAGGATACCTCAACTGGGTTCAGCTGAGATAAGCTTCCCGCGCCAGACTGCTTATTACAAGGGCTTATTAAAAGTGCATGTTTAGGGGCCTCCCGGGTGGTGCAGCGGTTGAGCGCTGGGTTGCAAAGCTACCTGCAGCCTCTGCAGCGCCGGTTCGATCCCCAGCTGCTCCCGACCACCGGAGGAGGGTCCCACATGGCGCGCAGACCCCCCCCCCCGCTGCCCGCTGCTCCCCCCAGCAGTGTACCCCAGTCCCTCTGCCTGCCCTGCTCCGTGCTCTGGCTCTGGTGAATTCCCTCATCCTCCTGTGCTTCTGACTGTACCCAGTGCTTGTATAAATAAATAAAAATAAATCTTTAAAAAAAAAAAAGTGCATGTTTAGTGCCCCCCTGGTGGTGCAAGGGTTACAGACGCAACCTATGAAGCAATCTGCAGCCACTGCAGTGCAAGTTCGATTCCTGGCCAGGGAGATACCCACGTGACGCAGCAGACCTCTCCTGACTCACCCGCCGTTCCCCTCAGCAGTGAACTTTCATCAAACTGCCTGCTCTGTTCCCCACTCTGTCTCTGGTGAATCCTCTCACCCCGCACACCTCTGTCCTGTACCCCAGCTCTTGTATACATAAATAAATAAATATTTTAAAAAGTGCATGTTTATTATTATTATTTTACACTGTTTTTCATTTTTGTCTAATATTTGAAACCTCCCCTCAGTTGTAATCCCAGTAACATTTCCACCACCAAATCACCCGTGAATCGTCACCACAGTCTCTCGGGAAAAACACATGCTTATTATTGTATGCCTTGGAGATTCTGGAATTGTTTGTTATTCAGCAACTGACAGATACAGCCCTTTACGAAAAATGCACCAACTATAATCCTGTTGTCCTCTTTTAGGAAGGTGAATCACAGACTCTGGTTTCAGATATTTCCACCTTTCAGTTTCCTCATCAGTAAAAATCTATAAAGTTACTACAAGGACTGACTGAACTAATCTTGGAAGAACATTCATGCATGGGAGGTGGTCAGTATATTCAGTATGGTCTATTATTACTGAGGTATTTCTGCACCCTGGGTCCTGACTTTATATTTATTTATTTATTTATTTATTTATTTGATTTTCAAGCAGTCACAGTTTTATTTGTTTTATTTTTTACATCATTTTTCTTTTTTGCACAATGTATGCATTTTCATCTTGGTTATAGTCCCCATACAATTCCCACCCACCCCTTATTTGGACCCTAATCCCTCCTCCCATTTCCTCCCACCCCCATAGTATGTCTCTGGTTTATAGTTGCTTATTGATTTTGATTTTTACTTTATTATAATTTGTCTTTTTCCTGGCTCCTTATTTAGGTTTTCTAAATTCCTGCTATGAGTGAGACCATCCGGTATTTTTCTTTTTCTTTCTCGTTTATTTCTCTGGGTCCCTACTTTAAACAGCAGTTATCATCAGGTGTGTGGATGGGCCAGTGAGAAGAGCCCTCCAAGTAACAAAACATCAGATGACACTACTGTGTGCTGATGCGTATCCCTCCAGAGTGACCTGCAGTGAACTCTCCCACCTCTGCCACAGCGAGATACACCACTGCCTGCTTATGACAGTCAATTAATTGATGACACAGTTGTCCTGGAGAAGGTGGAAGCATGTCCCAGGCTTACGTCCTGCGGTGTGAGAGGCTAAGATGCGGGTGGCAGCTGTGGCAGGCTGCCAGCCAAGCACTTAGCACAGCCTCTCCCCCAGCTGTCTTCACTGCTCACAGGCTCTCAATGCCGCTGAATGCTAACAGGCAAATGTATATGATTTGAGAAGACCCAAAATGCAGGGATAAGAACAGCAACCAAACAGAATCTGTCTCATGAGCTCACTCGGCTCCCTGTGATGATGAACCTGTGGGTTTCCCCACCCACAAATCTATCCAGAGCAGCCGGAGATGTCCCTCAGGAGGGAAAACCATAAAAATCTGTCCACTGCCCACACCCACAAAAGGTTAAGGAGAATTATTTTCAAACTTTATCTAATTCAAATACTATGTCTCAACAAAGCCGTGTGCAGGTAAGGCCTCTGATAGTCTCTCACTAATCTTTCAGCTGCCAGATCCTTAGGTTGCCTGGCCTTCCTGTGATAAATTCTGCAAATGCTGGTGTCTGTCCTAGCCTCTGAAAGCCAGAAACCTACTGATGTCTGGTTGGGAATTGGAAATGTTTCTAGAAGCCTGACTGAATCTTAGAAAATAGAAAACAACCTACTCCATGTTACATAATCGGGCTGGGAAAACATGTTTCATACTAGAAAGGCAGCCAGCAATTTCCCAGGACTCAGACAGAAGTCTGGGTTGTTTGTTTGGCTCAGGACCTGCTTAAGAACGACAATATTTTAACCTCTCGGAATCTCCTCACCTGTCAAGCAAAGACACATTTCACCGCCCCCCACCCTGCTGCTGACATGCCTCTGTATATGTACTCTGTCTCCTGATCTACAGAGGATGAATAACTATCAAAGCAGCAGAATTATTATGCTGCTCAGAGAGGTTGGAAGATCAATAAAATGTTTCTAACACAAATCGGAAATGAAAATGAAGAGCAATCACGGTCCTCAGAAGGGACCAGAGCCATACAAAATTACAACCTAACCAGCCCTATAATCAAAAAGGCAGTCCCAGGAGAGTCTGTCATACCTGTTCACATTCTCAATTAACACAAAGATGCCCAGATGGCCTCTAAGTCATGCCCCCTGCCCCAGCCTGTCTTCCCCCTGGCAGGGCCAGTCACTTCCTTAGCACTTATTTCAGGATAATACAATGATGAGTTTGAGGAAGGAAATGTTAGCTGGGGCAGTGGGTGGGGCAGGTTTCTGGATGCACTGCAAGCTGTTTATGAACACTGGCAGTGGATGGGGGCAGGGGCATGGTTTCAAATTCTGCCTCCTCCACCTGACCTGGCACAGTTTGTACAACCTCTTTCTGTCCTAGTTTCTTCAACTCCAATGAACAGGTAGGAACACCTCCACCAAGGGTGGTCCTGAGGGTTGAGTGGCATATGTAGGCTTACATCACCAGTGCCCAGGACATGGCAAACATCCTGTACAATTTTGTTGGATGGTGGGTGGGTGGATAAGCAGCAGAGCCAGCTCCAAGCTGTGTGCCCTCACAGAGTCCTGCACTTTGAAGGGGCCCTCATTTAGTTTAATATGCTTTTGTCACTGTATTGAAATTCTCAATACTTTCTGAACAAGAGGCCCCACATTTTTGTTTGTCCCAGGACCCCCAAAATCATGAAGTCAGTCCCGCTGAGAAGCCACAAGGGAGGCAGAGGCCAGCACGGTGTTCTAGGAGTCTACACTGTCCAGTAGCATTGTAAGGCAGCCCCGCATGTGACCCCCACATTTATAGCTCTGGGTGCTCCTGGCAAAATACCACATTTGGAACAAAATCAGAGATGGAAATATTTTGTACTAAACCTGCACCATTTCATAACAAGCTTCCAGAAATTCATTATTTAAAAAGTAATGCAACCTTTCCATTGGGGCAAAAGGTTCTACCCCCCACCCCAATAATCAGTCCTCATGTGAAGAATGCAGTGAGTGTGATTCCATCTGCCCTCCACCCCTCTCTTCCTCCCAGGGAAGTGGAGCACTTATCAATTATCAGTGTACTAAACTTGGGAGCAACAAACTGGACATGCTGAGCTCTGCTCCCCATTTTACCTTTTCCCAGAGAGGGGGTGGTATGTCTGTCCCAGGCCAGGCAGTGTAACAAAGTAAGTAAATCTGTCTAATTCTGGGGCCTGATATTAGGAAACCTATTTGGCTCTCACACTGAGCCATGCCCCTCAACTCGTCTTAGCAGTAACAATAGTGGGATTTGGGCTTTCATCTATTATTCAATTATCTCTCTCTTCAATCTGTTCAGTTCTTAGGAAGAGGGTTGCAATTTAATAGACAACCTTTACCAACCCTCACAACCAAACAAACCTCTGCCATTCATTTTTTGATTTAGGACAATATTTAGTTAAAATGCTTCATGAAAAGCTAAGCTTATGATGATGAAGCAGCACAGTACTGGGAGAGAATCTTTGATTCAGTGCATCTCTAAACTGAAAGACACCACGATAACCCATTCCCAATCCCTCGGTTCAAGGAGAATACCCAAAGAGGGTAAAACCCCAGTACCCTGATTCTCAAACCTTAGTTTGAGAGTTTTTTGGAGGACTTGTTTAAACACAGATTTCTCAGCCCCATCCTACAGTTTTGCATCCAGTAGATCTGGTGTGGGTCCCAAGAATGAGCATTTCTACTTTGAATGAATTATACTAATGCTGCTATTTTGAGAACCACTGGCCTGTTACTCCAGAGCAGGAGCCAGGACCTGGGTGTCTCATGTTCTGACTGAAGGCCCTTCTTGGCCCAACTTCTTGTCTCACGGTTGTACCTTCCTCAGACTTGGCTGAAAGTTCCCTTAGAGGCAGTTTTGTATATTTGCACTGCCCACCTGAGATGGGCTTGCCCTCTGCTCCAAAATAATGTCTATAATGAGCCTTGAGATTCCTAGAAAAAAAATGCTTTCACAATACTTAGTACTTCTGGCACTAACATATGTTATAAAAATCATGCAAAGAGAGTTTTATGAAGAAAAAGAAATGTCATGAAGGATAAATGTAGAGCAAATGCTATCAGGCCACACACCAAGACCCTAAGAAATTGATCGATATTTTTCTGATCTTTCTATGATCTCTTTCTGCTTATCTATGTCTATGCTTATTTTGCTAAAAATAAATAAGAAAACTGTTTATACTTACCCAGAGTATTGGTAGCGAAGTTTTTTTCAAGTCCATCTTCTGTGAGCTCTCTTTTATTGACCATGCAACCTGCATTATTGATCTAGAAATTATAGTTCCCATTTCAGAATAGGGTCAAAAGATCCGTTTCCAAACCTCACACCTCCACTGCCACCAGTCCCACATTCAAGTGATGACAATTTGGCTCAAGTGGCCCTTCACTCCAAACTCCTTCCAGGAAAATGCCACTGTGCAGAAGACCCAGCCACAGAACTGTGCAGAGATGACCAAGTAAGATGACTTGGCTGGGAAACCTAACTTCTTCACAATAAAGTGCTCTGGGAATCTGTCTAGCCCAGTGCTATCCATTAGGAGTATGCAATTGTAAGTCTTATAGAATGTAGCCACATAAAAAGGTAAAAATAAACAGATAAAATTAATTTTAATATTATACTTTCTTTAACTCATATCATTCTTTAACTCATTCATATCAAAAATAGAATCATTTCAACATGTAATCAATATAAAGTATTAATAAGATAGCTTACACTATTTTCTTTCAAAGTCTCCAAAATCAGTTTATTATTATACTTACAAAACATCTTGATTTGTACTAGCTATGTTTCGAATGCTCCATGGTCATATTGGACGTACAAAACCAGATGATGGCCCAAAGAGATATTCAGGAGCAGATAAGAAATTACTGGATAGAAAAGCACCTCAGTTCAAAGCGGAAGTGTGCGGGGCAGATGGTACCATTCCTAGCCCCCTCCTCCCGCTCCTGCCCTAGTCTCTTGTGTTTAAGATTTGCTTGTCTGTTTGAGGCATTCTTTTGGAATGAACTTTTGCATTTATTCTCCCCTGAGCCTCTAATTTTAATGCGTCAATCCCAAATCTACAGAATTTAGGAATACAGGGCCTCCCCTGGTGGCACAGCAGTTGAGCACTGGGCTGTGAAGCTGCCCGCAGCTTCTGCAGCGCCAGTTTGATTCCTGGCCACTGGCGAGGGTCCCACATGGCATGCAGACCTCTCTTGCCGCGTCAGCTGCTCCTCTCAGCAGTGTATTTTGTCAGTCTGCCTGTTCTGATCCCCGCTCTGGCTCTGGTGAATTCTCTCACCCTCCTGTGCTTCTGACTGTATCCAGTGCTTATATAAATAAATAAATAAATCTTTAAAAAAAAAAAAAAAAAAGAACTTAGGAACACAGGACCCGGGTGTATTCCTAAAACCATCTCATTTTTATAAAAAATGGGACATGTCCTTCTTCCCACAATGCTTACCCAGAGGGGTTTCCTTTCCTTTTTCCACAGATCTACCCCAAGAGGTGGTTCTCCTCTTGAATCCAATGAACCATTGATTACATGAATAATCCCTACCACAAAGAATTCTCACTATGAGGCCCATATAAATACCAACAAAAATATCCACATCCACCTACAAGAAATGCACACATGTGAGATTTACTCTCTACTTACAATTATAAAGCTTACCAGAACATTGAGTGTATGTTCCTGCTTGAAAGTTTCAGCAAATTTCCATATTTTCTTGGGATCAGACAAGTCCAAAATGTGCAGAAAGATGTTCTGAACCAGAAAAGAAAAAAACTTGTAAAGCTTCTTTAAAAAGATACAAACTGGGGCCTCCCCGGTGGCGCAGCGGTTGAGCGCTGGGTTGCGAAGCTGCCCGCAGCCTCCACAGCGCTGGCTCGATCCCCGGCTGCTCCCCGGCCACCGGAGGAGGGTCCCACATGGCGCGCAGACCTCTCCTGCCGCCCAATGCTCCCCTCAGCAGTGTACTTTGGTCCTTCTGCCTGCTCTGCTCCCCGCTCTGGCTCTGGTGAATTCTCTCACCCTCCCGCGCTTCTGACTGTACCCAGTGCTTATATAAATAAATAAATAAATCTTAAAAAAAAAGAAAAATAAGTTTAACAAAAAAATAAATAAAATAAAAAGATACAAACTAGTATTTTTTACATTAAAAAATACATATCCTTGGTTTTAAACATCAAATAACTTAGGAAGATACAAAATGGAAAGTAGTATGTGGTATGTGTACCCATCCCATGCAAATAGAACCAGACTACACATTTTTTGAGATTTATTTTTAATTTTTTTAATCTAAAAAACACTGGTTTATAGCATTGCATTGGTTTATAGCATTACATTGGTTTCAGCTGTACATCATTATAAATCAACATCCATATATAGTACATTATGTTCACCACTAAAAGATCAGCCTATATGTTGTTCTATATCCTTTTCACTTAACGATTATCTTTTGGAGATTTTCTTGTTGTTGTCTTCTATAAAGTGATCTTATGGCTATATAACATACTTTTCATGGATATTTCTTAGTTTCCCACTGTCAATCATTAATGTGTTCTTGTCAATACTTTCCTGTTAATACAGTATCTAAGACACATCATAACTCTAAGGCACATCATAACTCTAAGCTGGACAACTTCCTCTATGACTTGATCTTTGCTTAACAGGTTCTGCCTTGGGTTATGTCTCTCTCTGGACACAGCTTCCTCCCCCATTAGACTTATAATTCCATGTTGGATGCCCCCCCCTTATGGTAGCTGACGCAGACACACATACAGATGATTACTGTACATTGGTTGCTTTGTCCTTCTTTTCCTCTGTACCTAGCACATGAATTAAACTCATTTTCTCAGTCTCCAGTGAATGCAGGGGTTCACCCCTGACATCCAGGAGGTGAATGTGATAGATCACCAACCCAAGCCTGAGATTCCTGCTGCTTCAGACACTCAAGAACTTAACCTACATATGAGATTCTGAGCAATATCCACAATTCCTATAATAAAGCAGAGAACGCAGTGCCCTGCCTCAATTTCTTCATTAACTGAGTCACAGAATCTGCGGATGTATTCAGAATTTCTTTCTATTAATCTTACAGCATTGTTTTCTAACGCTGACACAAAGGTTCAGAGAATGAGCAAAAAGAAGCAACCCCACATTTTTATGACTCACTTTGAATACCATACTCACTTTGAATACCATATTCAGCTTAAATCTGGCACAATTAAAATTCTATCCTTTACCTTCAGAGGATAGGAAAAGCATTGTCTGCATATTCCTATACTCTTTGAAAGTCTGCAAAGGCCATGGTCCAGCCAGAGTGGATACAAAGGTTATATCTGGATTGGCCACGAGCAATGCCTGCAAACTGAGTCTAGACACACAATCCTTTATCGTTTCTTTCTTTAAAAAAAAAAAGATTTATTTATTCCTACATACAAGAACTGGGGTACAGGCCAAAGGTGTGGGGGGTGAGAGGATTCACCAGAGACAGAGTGGAGAAAAGAACAGGCAGACTGACTGAAATACACTGGTGAGGGGAGCAGTGGGCGAAACAGGAGAGGTCTGCCGTGCCATGTGGGTAGGTAGCTCCATGGCTGGGGATCAAGCTCGTGCTGCAGTGGCTGCAGATAGCTCATAGGTTGTGTCTTAACCCCTTGTGCCACCAGGGAAGCCCCTTTATTGTTTCTTTCTAAGGGCTTTTCTGCAACTGCCCTAAGACTCCCTCTCACTCAACAGGGCTGCCTAACCTCACAAAATCATGATTCAAAAACCAAATTTCAAATGAAGCAAAATCATATTTATGTGGAATATTTCACAAACTCTGGGTTTTCTGAAAGTAACTGAAGTGTCTCAAAATTAACAGGAAGTAGCAGCAGGGAAGATAGACTCTCTGTACCAGACAAATCAAGCATGGAGACTGGTGAAATGAGGCATCATGAGAATATGAAGGAAGTCATCTGTCTCCTTCTAGGGAAAATAGGAAACCAGAGACACACAGGAGAGGCCAGCAGTCTGCTGTGAGCAGGAGAATTAACTAGAGCAGGTACATATGTGTAAAGCCTGATCTGCTGATCTATGCAAAGCAACATGTGTTCTACATAAGACTACATCTTACTGTATAAGACCTACATGTGATGACTTATGACTGACACGTGACTACAGGGCTGGCCCTAGAAGCCACTGGGCCCCATTGCACTAGCTCTTTAGATCCTCGGATACAAATTTGTTTACTGAAACAGAACAAGACTCAAACGGGATTGAGTGCTATGGCACCTTGAACTTCCCCTGCCATAGCACATATGCTATGTAAGGGCCTAGCAGCAACCTCTTTCAACAAAAGGAATTGAATTCAGGGGCTGGTTTCCTATGGGAAGATGAGAACACAATTGGAACTGGCGATGTAATCAAGAGATCAGCTATAGTGGGAAGCTCCTACCAGCTCTGGCTGGAGGGGATGGTGTGACCCAGGCCAGGAGTCAGGGTCCCTCCAGAAGGAAGAATCACAGAAGAGATTCAGCTGTCGCCAGGGAAGCCAAATATCCTATTTTCCACTGCTTCCTACCCACCCTCTTCCTCTGACATCTCCCATTGACTAAACCCAACAGACTGATGTGGGCAAAGAAGCACATACTGTGGGGTCCCCTCTCCCACCTGCCCTCACAGTGATACGGAGCTGAGCAGACATTCAGGGGGCTGGCACAGGCTTCACCAAAAGAACTTGTCGATCACTGGAATCCTTCACAAGATAGTAAGAGGTTATCCCTGTCTCTACTATCTCCCTCTCCAGCTCCTAGCACACTACCTATACATGATTCATAGCCAAATATATACCCAAAAGGGAGCAAGTATATAGCCCATTTTTCAGATGAGGAAACTGAGGTTCAGAGAAGTTAGGAAACCTGGGACTCAAGGTAACTAGGGCACTGAGCCCAATGAGTGCAGAACCAGGATTCAAATCAGAGCCAAGCTCCTTCCCATACCTCACACTGTCTGGGGTGGACCAGATGAAGCTGCAGAATGGAGACTCCTCACAAACAGGGAGGCACAGTGGGACCCTGGCAGAGGTTGGAGGTTACACTGAGTCAGGGAAACCACACCCACAAGGATCAGTGGACAGGCCCTCTCATCCCTGGGCCCTCCCAGTTCTCCGAGCTAGAGGCCACTATAATCACCAAAGAGGCGGGATTTCTGTGTTTGATTGTTTTTTAAGATTTATTTTTTATTTATACAATAGCTGGGGTACAGGCCAGAGGTGCAGGAGGGTGAGAGGACTCACCAGAGACAGAGTGGGGAGCAGAACAGGCAGACAGATTGAAAGCACTGCTGAGGGGAGCAGGTCTCTGAAGAGAGCTGAGCACTATGCTCAACCTGCTCCATGTGTTGTTAGGATCCTTTTTGTGTATCCCTGGGTGGGTAGGCAGTGGCCAAAGGGGTCTCTCACCCCACTCCAGGAAACATTTGCCTTCTTCTCTCATCGCAATATCCTTTCCAAAGATGGTAGAGAGGGATATAAGAATGGGTCAGTATTGGGCCTCCCCAGTGACGCAGCTGGTTGAGAGCAGTGCTGTGAAGCTGTCCGCAGCCTCTGCAGTGCCAGTTCAATTCCTGGCCTGCCAGGGAGATACCCACATGGCACGGCAGACCTCTCCTGTCTCGCCCGCTGCTCCTCTCAGCAGTGCTTTTGGTCTGTCTGCCTGTTCTGCTCCCTGCTCTGTCTCTGGTGAATCCTCTCACCATCCTGCGACTCTGACCTGTACCCCAGCTCTTGTATAAATAAAATAAATCTTTTAAAAAAAAGGGCCAATATTATAAACAAAACCACATTGTCAATTTTATCCACATAAATCCACTTTGTGAAAAATGTGGCCCACACCACAGCAGGCTGGTATCCAGAACAACCTTCTTCTGCCCATGGCCTGAGATTAGTATTCCTTGTGTGTTCTGTAGCAGCACAACTGAAAGTTATCAGCAGGCAGACAGCCAGCTTTCAATCTCAACAAATGCAGCCCCCAGCACAGCGTCACTTGCAGACATTAGGGGAAGATTTAGAAACCCTCACGCTCATCAGCCCAGAGCTTCTGTAAGGCATCTGATAGCGGGAAGCTATGGAGGCCTAGGTGAACAGGGAAAGGAACAACCACTTGCTTTGAAATGCCATTTTTTAAACAATGATAACATTCATGAGAAGATGCAGAATATTTCATTTTAGATTGCAGCACTTTCTTCCTTTGTCCATAGTCCAAGCCTAAGGGAGTGGAGTCCTGTTCACCTCTCCCTGCCAGTCCCTCAGTTGTGGACACTATGGGGCAGCAGCAAGAAGGGGGCTGCTGGAGAAAAAGCTCCATGGGAGACAAGGAGAAACTTCAGGAACGGAAGGAGGACATTCTGCAGTGAAACAGACAGCCATCGCTAGGACTCCTCTCCACTTTATGGATTTTATATCCAGAACCAGTTTCGTGCATGTACAACCTATGCAAGTGCCCAGGCTTCACACTCAGAGGGCCCCATGCTTCAGTCAATGAATGCTCTGCCTTCACTGTCTCAAGGTCTCAAATTTTACACAAGGACCCTATATTTTTATTTCCCACTGGGCCCCACAAATTATGCAGCCAGTCCTGCTTCTGACTTTCTCTCAAAATTTGAGCCAGATCTGCAAGTTGTTGCTAGAAAATGACACTTATTACGGCCAAGATGTTGTTCGTTGTCACTCTATTAGAAAACCACTGGGTCAGTTTACAGCTTGGCTGAGTTACCCTTAATGTGTCTTGCTGACCCGGGTCTTCTGGGGTAGAAGCCCCAGCAGTGCCACTGTCCAGTATAATGTCTCCACAGCAGGGAATGGCCCCTACTTGCTGCCTCAGGGTGCCCAGGTCAACTGTCAGTGCCCGAGCTAATTTGGGTCAACTCTGCTATTGCAAAACACAGCTCCAGGTCTCTGCTGCCTGAGGCTGCCTCCAGAGCAAAAACACAGGCACCGGCCATTGCCAGCTCAGGAAGCATGGACCCCTTTGCAGCTGACCACCGGAGGCGAGAAACCCCTGCAGGCCAGTGAAGAGCAGCTCACCTGGTTACCGCTCTCCCTGATGATCTCACCTTTGGCACCTTCAGCTCGACTTTGATCTCGACAAACCAGGTGAACTGTGCCACCTGGTGGAATTCAAGGAAACCTTCGTGAGTTATAGTGATAGCAGCCGAGAGGAGCTTTTCCAAATGAAGACTGAAGCCCACAGAAAGGAGACCTAGCATTGAGACTATTCTGGAAAATCTAGCTGATTACCCCCTGCAACGAGAGTAGCAGGTGTAATAGAGGGTAAACCTAAAGCTGCTCTCCTTGCTTCTCTGAGTAATTGGCAGTGTATTTGGGATAATATCCTCTTTTTTCCCCCTATAGGTATGAACATATGCAGGATAAAAAGTGCCTGCCTCGGTCACACCTGTCAAGTCGCATAGTACCTGACACGGAGGTCTGAACCTAGCTTCACTTTAGACTCACCTGAGGAGATGATAAGCTGCAGGTGATGGGCCCACGCTGGGATATGCTCTCAGAGCTCCCCAGGTGAGTCTAAGGTTTAACCCAAGCTGAGAACCACTGACCTAACATGTAGCAGGGACTCAATTAATATTTATCGAATGGTTGAATCCACAAACGGCACTCAGGCTATCCCAGCAAAGGCCATGCCATCATCAATCAAGCTTTATTTAAAGGCGAATACTCGGCGGCAGCATTTAACAAATAATCACTACAAAGCCTGCTTTCTTCACTTAAAATAGCCTGCATTATTAAATGGGGTCTGTTTCATGGGAGGCTACAGGCTAACCATGCAACCAGCTCCTCTGCTTTGTCCTCCTCCCACGACACTTCAGAGTAACTCCCGTAGTAGCTAAGATGCAGTTAATCCTGCCATGACTCGGCAGATAATTAAATACAGCTCCAAATGGTATCATATTCCCCTAGCAAATGCCTAACTTGATTTTAGAGAAAAATAAATATCTTGAGCATCTTAAGAGTGATAAATTCCCAACCTATTTCCCCACCTTCTGCTGGAACATCAATTTTGCCAGAGAAGAGGCTCTGGAGAGACAAGACAGACATTTCTAGTCACCGTGGTGCCATTCACTGACCCAGGGCAGGTGAGTTCATGCAGGAAATTTTGGCATTTACCAGAAGGAAGACTTTAGCTGACTGAATAATTTACAGGGCACCCAGAGAGACTCTTCACAGAATCAAGGTTAGGGAAGAGAAATAGGAGGCCACCCCAGCCACTCTAACCTGCAGGCCGGACACCAGGCAACCAGGAGGATGGAGGATGTTCAATGCACTCCCTTCTCGTTATTCTGGGTGCACTGGTTCTTCACTCGGGCCCACAGTTAAAGTGCAGTAGACTCCAGTCTCTGCCTCTCTCCCCTCACCCTTAATTCTAATTGAGAAGGCTGAGCTGGACCTAGACCAGGCAGTCATGTTCTATCGATAACAAGAGCTCAGGATTAAAAAAAACAACAAAAGAACCCCGATGCCCAGAGTAGGCTGGAGCCCCTCACTGCTCTTAATCATAAAGCAATGTTATGTGTGGACAGATCCTGGGCTCGCCTGCAAATTTATTAAGTGCTATGGAAAGGCTCCTCTAGCCATTCGCTCTGGCCACCTCTAGCTTGAAGTAACGCACAGCTCAGAGCTGGCAGCTGTGCTGATCACCAGGGACCACTGTCCAGGCCTTCTGGCCACGCTGGCTGGGCCCTGCTGATCTGCAGTGACACAGGGCACTCTCCCCAAGGCAGACCTGCTGTACGCTAGCCTTGGGGTACAGGGGACACACAGGTTAGCAGGCTGCTCACCTCGCTTGGCTATTTCAGTTGCAGTTGCTTTTCCAATGCCACTGTTGCCTCCGGTGACCAAGAAGGCTCTTCCAGGAACTTGGACTTCCAAGTCGTCAGGGTCAAAGTCCTTAGCTGCAGATTCATAGCCACTCCTGGAAGCAGCAGAGCCACAGAAGGAGTGGCAGTAAGGCGCGGGGAACACCAGCCACGGCAGGGCGAAAGCCTAAATCTGATGGACATTACTGTCTCTGCCAGCACATCACACAGTCCTTCCTTCTTTGGCCTCCAAGCTTCCTTCCCTGGTCTCACAAACAATACCTCCTCAGAGCCTATATTTCCTGTACCATTAGCTTCCTGGGGTTTTGAAAATATGTGAAGATACCAATAATTTAGCATCCAAACTATCTTCCTCTGCCTGCCTTTGATACCAAGAAGTGTTCCCCTCCTTCCCCCCACCTTAAATCCTTGACTAGAAGGTTTTACATTTCCCCCATGGTGGGGGGGGGGGCGGCAATAGGAGGTGGGAGCACAGTGAGAGAAGGGAACTTGGGAGACCATTAATATCATGCTATTGCACAACAGGCAAGGTCTCCTACCTAGCTAGAGGGCCCTGGTTAGTGGGGGAGATTTGCAAATAGGGAATAGTGGAGGAAGAAGAAAAGGCTCCTTGAGGAGTACAGGGTGTATACTGTATAACTTGAGGGGGCGCCATTCGGACCACGGTAGGACAACCTTCTGGCAGCTGGCAGCAAAACATATTAAGGAAGTGCTTTTATTCATTTGCACAAAGGCATCATTTTAGATCAAAGCAACCCTGAGTTCCTTAACTGTTTCTTCTCTACCTTTTGAGATACCTCTTCTATCTTTATTTTTCTAATATTTCCTAGTTTTGAAATTAACTGAGAGCAGTGGAGGTAGAACGGAGGGGGATTCTCAGGAGGACACCCTGAGGGCAGACCTCCCCTCATACACCAGTAGGCTGGGGTCTCAGAACTTGCATCTCTCAAAAAGAGCTGAGTGGTTTCTCCCCTGAGACATAAAATGACTCTCCTATGAAAATTCTACAAGAATCCCAGCGCCTTCCCACATGCTGTGTTTACACACTGGCTGCCAACGGCTGGTCTCCTGCCCCACACCCTGGTACAGCACAACTGCCAATTACACGCCCTGGACCCTAGGGAAGAGGCCAAAGAATGTTTATGGGTTTGGTTTGGAAGTCGGTGCCACAGGGGCAGCCATCTCACAGTTGAGAAACCAAGAATGTTTCTGTTCCCACATCTGGAACTCACCAAGACAGTCCAGGGCAGCTCAGAGAAAGCCTTTTCCATTGCTTCTGCTGCTAGAGGCTCAGTTAGTGGGGCAAGAAGACTCAGTGACTATTCCTAAGCCTTCCTGAAAGGCTGACTTGAAACTAAAAATAATATCAATAACAAGGGCTTTGGATGAAAAACCCTAGGTTTAAACTGCAGCTCTGCCTCTTAATAGCTGTGCCACCACATGTATTGGCTTAATTTTCCTGAGCTCCTCATCTACAGAAAGGGGATAATAAGAGCTACCTCTGGGGCAGCCTAAATGAGCCAGTGTACGTCAGGCATTTAGCACCACTCTCAGAATCCCATATTTTTAAAACTGAGCTCCTTGGGCCTCCCTGGTGGCGCACGTGGTTGAGCGCAGCACTGTGAAGCTGTCCACAGCCTCTGCAGTGCCAGTTCGATCCCTGCCGGCCTCAGAGCAACCCACATGGCAAGCAGACCTCTCCTGTGTCGCCCGCTGCTCCCCTCAGCAGTGTATTTCGTCAGTCTGCCTGTTCTGTTCCCAGCTCTGTCTCTGGTGAATCCTCTCACCCTCCCGCGCATCTGGCCTGTACCCAGGTCCTTATATAAATAAAATAAATCTTAAAAAAAAAAAAGAAAACTGAGCTCATTTAGTTCCCGGATCTTCAAATGACTAGGAACACTGTAAGCACTTCAAACTATAATCAAAGATGAAGCTATTTTCCCCCATAAGTGGGCTCCAAGCATCACTATGGAAGGATTTTCTTGCACAGGCAAATGGTTCCTCAGAGAGCCAAGGGCCCAGGAGTCAAGAATAGGAAGCCAGTCAGCAGTAGGTACAGGTGAGGAGTGAACGAGAGCTTTCCAAACCTTAACAGAGCCCGCAGAAGAGCAGGGCACAGAGAACATGCAGGGAACTGGCCCAAGGTCCCCTCTTCCAGGAGCATGGGGGCTTTTCTCTATGACTCCCAGCTAAAGAGAACCTCAGCCTTTGGGCTTGATCCTACTAGAGGCTAAGGCTGGTTGAAGGTGGCTCCTGGAATTAAACTGCTTCCTCAAACTTGGCTGTCAGACAACTGGGCGGTGACAGGCTAGCCTGCAGGATGCGTCATACCCTTCCTCTGTCCTTTGCCTTGGGCTCTTTGTCTTTAACACGAGGATTCCATCCTGGTCCAGTCTGGGTTATTATTAACAACTTAAGGCTTCTGTATTTCCCTTCCCTCTTTATCAGTAGCAGGGAGGTAAGTGACTAGCCTAAAGTCCCAAGATGGTCGTGATAAGCCCAAAAGAGGTTTTCTTCTCTTTCAATACCCAGTCCAAGTCACCTACTACATCAGTGGTGCTCAAAAGGATGGTTTCTAAACTGGCAGCATTAGCATCACCTAGGAATCTGTAAGAAATGATTTTCTGAGGCAGACACTGAGCCCTGTGAAATCTGTGGTTTCACATGCCCATCAGGTGATTTTGATTCAAGCTGAGCAACAACTGTACTTATGTGTTCTCTAAACCCTCAAGGAGGCAAGCTCCCAGGCCTCTTTTTGATGTCAGCCCCTCCCCAAACCCCTTTACCCAACGTGGAATCTGCTTAGGTCCCATACCTACTTGCTAAGGGCTTAGAAGTCTGATTTTTTGTTTGTTTCTATTTTTCAATTGTCCTTGGTAAATTTTAGGTTCAGGCAAGTTTAGAAAAGAGTGACTAGATCCTGCTGCCTAGAACAGGGACCCAGTAATGGGAAACTTAATTAAAATCCTGGTGTGCCAAGAAAAACAAACCATAAACCCAAACTATAGGCTCACATACGATGAAACAAAACAAGGTGCTATCTTACCCTCCAATTCACTAAATGCACAATAGCAGGAACCAGCTGAAATGTGCTCGATCCCTTACCCCTTCACAAAAGAATCTGGGGAGAGATTTTTAGAAACTCCCTTTTCCAGGCTGGGAGCTGACTCGAGGTCGTCATGCTGTGTTCTGTGTAACATGGAAAGATCCAGCAAATAATGACCGCTGCCAGAGTACACTCCTTTGAAAGAAAGAGGCTGCCATTGTGTTCATGACTAAATCCAGTGGGCCAGGGCTGATAGCTACACTTCCCACCACTCTCTGCAGCACTGGCCCCTAAGGAGGCCTGCTTTCCCCAAAAGGGCGTGGGGTGAAGAGAAGGGAGCAATAGCGGCTGCCACGCCTTGGAATTCTGCCTGGTAGGCTGGACATTTGCCTGAGCTGCCTTCTTGATAAAAACTCTACTGCAGGGCGGAAAGAAAGTGTCTGAGAGATGACTGGGGGGCAGAGACAATCACCTGGGGAAATCTTTGTAAAATATCAGTCCAGGTTGCAGTGCAGACAAATTGAATCAGAATCTCTACATATGGGTGCATGAAAACTGGTATTTTTAACTCTCCTGAGGTGATTCTGATGTTTAGACCCGGTGGAGAGCCACAGCAGGTGACTAGTTACCTCTAGATTGAAACCTTCATCTCGCCTCCCTCAGAACTGCCCCAACCCTCACTTTAAAAATGCAATGAGAGGAGGGCCAGCTCGGGCACAGCGAGGGTGCGCAGGGGACCAGGGAGGTCAAGCACCTTTCACCAGCGCGCACTGGTGCACAGAGCAACACCCGCTCTGTAACCCGCGCTGGAACGTTCCAGCAGGAACCAGAGGTCACAGTCCACACGCCACATTTTATTAGTGAGCAAAAACACCCAGCAAAGAGGGCGGCCAGAACATCCGAGGGCCATCTGCAGGTACTGGTCCAGACTGACACCAAAGGCAGGACCTCGAGGGGCGCCGGGGTTAACGCCCAGAAGGCTCCGAGGCGGCCGGGTGCGCCCCAACGTCAGCGGGTCCGTAGAGCCCCCGGACGCCAGGCGGTCCTGAGTCCCAGGCTGGTGCCCGCGGCCGCCCCGGAGAGCCGGGTCCGCGCGGGGACAGCGCGAAGCAGCGGCCGGCGCGTCCCCGCCCGCCCCGCGGGCCCGCGCTGCCCACGTGACCGCCCGCCCCGCCCCCCCCCCCCCCCGGCCGCGCCCCCGGGCCCCCGGCACCGCGCCCGCGGCCGCCTTACTTGGTGTATTCGCGCAGCCCCTTGGCGAGCCACGCGGCGCTGCGGTAGAGCGACATGGCGGGGCTTGCGCCGCGCCCGAGTCTCGCGGCCCCGCGCTCGGGGTGCCCGGCCCCGCCCCGCCCCCCGGGAGCCGCCCGCGGTTACATCATCCCCGTTATGTAAGAGCCGCGGCGCGCGGGCTTTCTCCGCCGGGAGCGCGGCGGGTCGTCAGGCCCGACCCCCTGATCCCTCGGAAGGGGAACGGCTCCCTGGTGCGCTGGAGAGCGAGCCCCGCGCCCCCTGCTCCGGGCGGGGGTGGGCTGAGGGAGCGCCGGCCCTGCGGTGGGCTGGGTGGGCCTAGCCCCCGCGGGCTGAAGCAGGGTGTCAGCATGGCTGTGAGAACTGCATGCGTGCTGGGTCTGGCTGGGATGCCAAGATGGCATCGCGACGCCTATTCCTAGAATTTGGCTACTTAGAAAATCACGTGACAAAGAGATGCGGCTTGATAGTGAAATGATTTCTCCATCTAACGGGCTTTTCCCCAGGGGTTATAGGATAACTCTTTTTCTGAGTTTCTTTTGCATGGTTTGAGCTCAGTAGCTAAGAGGAGGTACAGCTTTCTATCAGGTGCAGTGAGTCAGGCTGGTAATACGGCCACAGTGACACAGCTGGCAAGAAGCAGGGCTGGGTTTCCTACCCCGGAGGTGAGTCTGTCTCTAGACTTTTCCTACTAGTTTTGCAACTTCATGCAGTGTCAGGGAGGGCCTCTTTACCTTGTCCAGATCTTCATCAGCCTTCCCCTACCTCCACCCCCAAGTCCAAATAGATACATAGTGTAAATTGTTTTTTTGTTTTTTTTTAAAGCATGGTTGCTGTGCCAACTAATTTGCACCCCCCCCGCCCCCGTTCTGCCCTGTGGGAATCAGGCACCCCCATTCACATCTCACCCCCACCCCTCCATCTGGGTTAAGGATGGATCACTTGCTAAATTCTATAGTGGTTTACCCAACTCGCCCAGAGACTGAGCCACTCTTACATAAGATGTGTAGAGACCAGCTAACCAGCTAATTTAATGGCCTCATTATCTAGGATATGAGATCACTGCTCCCCTCCCAAGTGGGTATGTTTTTACTTCAGAAGAGCTTTAAATTTCCCCAGAACAGCTTGCTCTTCTGAACAGGACTGTGAGGTTCCTCTGCATTGCTCTTATTTCTGACAGAGTGATGAAAGGAAGTTTAAACAAGTGGCATTCTGCAAAATCACCCAGCCTGGTGTGACTTTCAATGCCTGTCCGGCTAGCCGGAAGAATATTTTAGAACCCCAGAGTTACACAACAGTGCTTTGAATACTCTGCTTTGTGTCAGTGATGGAAAAGGTGTCAGTCTGCACTGAATTCCTCTCACTGCCTCAGGAAATATGCTTTTGGCTCACAGAGGGGTGAGAAATTGTTCTGAACTGCAGGAAGGGCATCAGCAGCACCTTGAAGTAACAAGGGGTTGGGGGATCCATCTCCCTCCACCTGTCATGTGGACAGGGGCATGGTGCCCCTGTCAGGCTTAGTTTTCTTATTTGTAGAATGGGACTGAATATGCTCACCTCATGGGGCTGTCATGATATGACATTGGTAGAGCACTTAGCAAAAATACCTGATTTTGGGCCTCCCCTAGTGGCACAGAGGTTGAGCGCTGGGTTGTGAGGCTGCCCACAGCCTCTGCAGCGCCAGTTTGATCCCTGGCCACCGGCAAGGGTCCCAAAAAAAAAAAACAAAACAAACAAAAAAAAAACCTGATTTCATATGAGGTAATCAAAAGTTGTTCAGTTCCCTGTTAGTTTTCTTCACATCCCTTTCTCTCTCTACACTATAGCCATGCGGTGTCCATTCACCAAATGCTCCAGGAATGCATGAAGTTTATGGTTCGCCTCAAACCAGCAAGGTTTGCAGAGGACCTGGTGTGTCCCTTATTATAGGGCCAGGAATGGGCCACAGGGTAAGTTTTCTGATCCAGCAGACCGGGTAAAGGAGGAGTCAGAGTCCTCAGTGGTTTTTGCAGGTCTTTTATTGGTATTTACCCGGTACATAGCAGGCTGGCAGGCCTCCCAGCCCCCAGCAAATCTTCACTCTATCTGGGCTCCCCAGTGATCTCTGCTTCTGCTTCTTTGCTTCTCTCGGCTTCGCTTTCGGCTTCTCTTTGGCTTCTACTGGCGTCCCCGTGACGCCGCCCTTAAAAGCCCAGTCTCAGCCCAGGTGAATCCCATCTTTCTATGCCCACACCCTATTCCAGGTGCCCGCCATCAGGCATGCACTCAGGACCGCAAGGATCCATCATCTATCCTGATGGCAGGAGGGCAGAAAAGCCTGACATTTTCCCTTACCTTACACTTATATATGCTTCATAGCAGGTTTTAAGAAAAGAAAACCCTGTCTCAGTGGGGGTTTCCACTTTCCTCTGGAAAACAAATAACACACACATGAAGAGAAAAAAGAGGAGGGTTAATGGAAAAGGCTCCCATTTAAGTAGAAGTTGGCTCAGCTGGATTTCAGCCCTATTTCTGCTGCTGATTCCCAGTGTGACCTGGGGTAACATTGACAAAATTTATAAAGGGTTTAATATGTACCAAGCCTTGCAGATCTCACTTCTCCTTACGATAACCTGGAAGGTTGCTCTTGCTCTTGTCCACATTTTAAAGATGAGCAAACTGAGACTTAAATGGGTTAAGTACCTTGGCTGAAGACACTGCAAACAGTGGAGCCAGGGTTTGAAGCCAGGCAGTGTGACTCCAGAGCCCACACTCACACGTTCATGTGCCATGCTGTATGAGGCCTAGTCACTTGGCCTCTCAGGGCTTCTCTGTCCCTCAGCTTTATTGAGGTATAATTGACACATAAAATTGTAAGACATTTAGAGTCTTCATCACAGTGATTTGTTATATATATACAGTCATCCCTCCATGTGGGAAGAATTGGTTCCAGGACCCTCAGAGACCAAAATCCACAGATGCTCAAGTCCCTTATATAAAATGTGGTGGTATTTCATATAACCTGTGCACATGGTCCTGTGTACTTTTACATGGTCTCTAGATTACTTTTAAAAGCTAATGCAGGGCCTCCCTGGTGGCGCAAGGGGTTGAGACGCAACCTGTGAAGCTCTCCACAGCCACTGCAACATGAGTTCGATCCCCAGCCGGGGAGCTACCCACATGGCGCAGCAGACCTCTCCTGGCTCGCCCACTGCTCCTCTCAGCAGTGTACTTCAGTCAGCCTGCCTGTTCTGTTCCCCGCTCTGTCTCTGGTGAATCCTCTCACACTCCACACCTCTGGCCTGTACCCCAGTTCTTGTATACATAAATAAATAAATATTTTTAAAAAAACGAATGCAATGCAAATGGTGTATAGCTAGTTGTTACACAGTATGGTTTAGGAAATAACAAGAAAAAAGGCTGTACATACAGGAGCAACCGCCATAGGCCTAACTGCACATTTAGTATGTATTTTGGATCTGAGATTGACTGAATCTGGGGATATGGATATGGAGGGTCAACTGTGCATTGTGAAAAGATGCCCACCATCTAGTAAATTACACATCCATTGCCCCACATATTTACCTTTTTTTTTTTTTTTTGGTTACTCTTTGTTTTACTCTCAGCAATTTTCAATTACATAGCACAGTGTTATCAACTACACTCACCGTGGTTTACATTAGATCCTCCTACTTTATCTTTTTTTTTTTTTTAAGATTTATTTATTTATTTATACAAGCACTGGGTACAGTCAGAAGTGCAGGAGGGTGAGAGGATTCACCAGAGCCAGAGCGGGGAGCAGAACAGGCAGAAGGACCAAAGTACACTGCTGAGGGGAGCAGCGGGCGGCAGGAGAGGTCTGCGCGCCATGTGGGACCCTTGCCTGCAGCCAGGGATTGAACCGGCGCTGCAGAGGCTGCAGGCAGCTTCGCAACACAGCGCTCAACCACTGCGCCACCAGGGGAGGCCCCCTCCTACTTTAACTGAAAAGTTTGTAGGCTTTTATCTCTTTCCAATTCCTCCACTTTCCTGTTTAGTTTTCTTATCTAAACAAGAAGAGGATAAGGGTCCTTCCAGCTCTGACTTTCTATGACTAGTAATAAGGGAATTACATAGAGATGATAAATAAGTTATGTCTAAGGTACTTTTAAAACAAATATCAAGTGGATGTACTTGCTTCATTTCACTCAGGTTTCTATCTCTAAAATATTTCTTATGTGTCCCTGGTTCCAATTTGCCACTCAAAAAAAACCACAGAAACAAATCATCCTTCAAAGCTTCCTTGCAATTGATTTAAAGCCCTGCAGCTAATTTTACTAAATTGGAAGGAGAAGCAGAAGGTGTGGACTAAGAAATGCATGGCTTCTTGTGCAACAGAGACACATGATGGGAAGTCTGCACGGCACACACACACACACACACACACACACACACCAGTGTTCTCATCATCTTCCACGGAAGCTCTGTACCAGTTTCTCCAGCCCAGTTGTCATGGCAACACCAGCTGCCAATAAGATCATGGAAGACAAGGTTATAATGGCAGTGGTGCCTTAATATTTTACCTGGCAAAGCCACTTAGATAATAAGGTGAATAACCATAAATCATAAATCCATTGAAAGTCCAGGCATCGCTCATTGTACATGTTTAGTGTGCTCTTGAGGGTGGGGAATAGAAATGAAAGCAAAGGGAAAGGAACAGAAAGGGAGGATGAGGCTGGGGGTGGGGAAGATTTTAGATGCTGATCCTTGTTATTCCTCATTGTAGATCATGCACGGGTCCTGACCCTGTCTATGCACAGATAAAGGAACTGGCATCTTCTGTAAAGACAAGAAGGGGGTAGAGGCTTCCAGCTTGATTTATTACAAAAGGCTTATAAAGAAACCCAAAATAACTGTTTTCTGGGGTTCACACTAATGGGGAAGAGAAGCAGCCTATGGAGACATGGCAGACAACGACCCTCCCACAGTCACCCAGCGGGAAGGTGGGCCCCATTTAGAAGCACCTTTCTGGTTGCCTCCCCCACATCTTAGATGCCCGCCAGCTTTTAGGCTAACGCAGCTCGGGTCTGTCTGCCGCCCGTGTGAACCAAATCCCTGAAGAGCAAATTACTTACCTTAAGGGTTTCCTTCTTTTCACAGGAAACTCATTGCATTCAGGGGAGGGAGGGTCTCTGGCAAGAGCTTTGACAGTAGGGAGCAGGAGCTTACACTGAAAAACCTTTGGTGCCTCTGTATTTTGTACAATGAGCATGAATTACTCAAAACCACACCATGATCCACTTTCTTTCCCTTTTCTGACCCCCACTTTTACATCACTTTTCTTTTTTTTTTTTTTTTTTTTTTTTATTTATACAAGCACTGGGTACAGTCAGAAGTCAGGAGGGTGAGAGAATTCACCAGAGCCAGAGCGGGGAACAGAACAGGCAGACTGACGAAGTACACTGCTGAGGGGAGCAGCGGGCGGCAGGGGAGGTCTGTTACACCATGTGGGACCCTTGCCCGGTGACCAGGGATCGAACCGGTGCTGCAGAGGCTGCAGGCAGCTTCGCAACCCAGCGCTCAACCGCTGCGCCACCGGGGAGTCCCTACATCACCTTTCACTAGCCTTGTCTACCCATCAAGAATGAACACACTGGCAGTGATCTGGACAAAAGTAGGGCAGTATCCATGAAACCAAGTTGACGAGAGAAATGACTCCCCACAAATGGGGCTTCTGTTGGTCTTAAACTTGCATACAGAGTGTTTCTAGGGCTCTCTAAAGCAAGCAGGTTCTGTTCTTAGTGCAAAAGTGGTAAGAGAATGTCAGGCTGTATATTGCTCGAGATGGTCTGCACCAATACTCCCTGATGCCTTGTTCGCCTGGATGGTTCCCAAGAGGCAGAGATGTGGAGATGGATGCACAGTGGCAAGAACTGGGTCAAGTTTCTAAAGAACTGCACTTAGCTTTCACCCCTTCAGAGGAATCACTCCACTTCTCTGAGCCTCAGTTTCCCCACTACACAGCAGCATAGCAGTCCAGTCCTCACAGCATAGTGAGGATGAATGAATGGTCCTTTTGTCTTATTTAGAAAATACTTATATGCTCCACTTGCTGTGTGCCAAGCACAGTTCTAAGTTCATTTAAATGAGGAAACAGAGGCACAGAGAATCTCAGTCCATGATCACACAAATCTAGAAAGTAGCAGAGCAAGGATTCCAACCTGACAGTGGGGTCCAGACTCCATATACTTGACCCCTTTCCTGTAAAGATGGAGGCTTTCATGGTGGCTTCTTAGTTTCTTCTCTTGGAAATGTCAGTGGGGCTTAGAAACATCTGCATACTTACGCCTCCCCCTTTTTTGGTTGATTGGTTCCTGTGTTGACTGAGTGTCTGTGTTCCCAAAGACTGAAAGTGGGTCAAGAAGAGCTAGTGTGAGCTACGAATGAGGCTGGTTTTAGCATTTGTGGCCTTTTTTGTACACGGAAAGATCTTATGACCCCATATCTACCGGTTTTTCCACACTGGTGATCCCATCATTCTGGGGGGTCTTGAAGGACTAGGAATACAGTCTCTTTTTATTTTTTATCATGGTAAAAAATACATCCATAAAATTTACCATATTAACCATTGAAGTGCGCAGCTCGGAGGTAGTAAGTACAATCATGCTATGGCACAGCCATCCTGACTGTCCAGCTCCAGTACCTTTTCATCTTAGGGAATGGAAATTTTGTACCCATTAAACAATAACCCCCATTCTCTCCTGGTCCCAGCCCTTGAAACCACCTTTCTACTTTTTGTCTGCATAAATTTGATTACTCTGTTTACCTCCTATAAGTGGAATCATACAGGATTTGTTCTTTGGTCGCTGGCTTATTTCACTTGTCACAAGGTCTGCAAGGTGCACCTGTGTTGTAGCGGGTGTCAGAAACGCTGTCCTTCCTGAGGCTGGTGATGGCCCTGTCTGTACATGCCACATCGGTGTTTACTCTTCTTCCCTCCATGGAGACTGGGCCACTTCCTCCTCGGGCTATCATGAAAAATGCTGCCGTGTACGTGGGCATATAATTATCTTTCAGTTCCTTTGTGTATATACCCAGAAGTGGAATGGCTGGTTCATGTGGCAGCTCTGCTTTTAATTTTTTTGAGGAAACTCCATACTGTTTCTGTATGGTAAATGGTTTTTCAGGCTTTTCTGCCCTCCCACCATTGGGATCGCCCTGCCTGATGGGGGTCCCTGCAGTTGTTACATTGTTGCTAACTGATTTGTTTACTTCTGTGGGCCATCGGAGTAGTATTGAGAGAAGCAAGGGAGAGGCAGGAGGGAGAAGGGGCAAAAGAAGCCAGAGAAGCCCAGAGTGAAGACCTGCCAGAGGCTTGGAGGTCTACTGGCCCCCTGGCACTCTTGCCTGCCATGTACCTGCTTGCTGCGAAGCATGTAAAGCTCAATAAAAGCCTGAGAAAGCCACCAAGGGCCCCAAGACTATCTTTTACCTGTCTGCCGGATCAGAAAACCTGCTCAGTGGCCATCCTGCCACTACAGGATAGCGGCAATACCATTTGATATGCCCTCCGAAAGAGCACAAGGGTTCCAATTTCTCCACATCCTCACCAGCACTTGTTATTTTGTTTTGTTGTTACGCTGTTGTTTTATTAGTATTAGTATTCTTCCTAACAGTGATAGTAAATTATTTTCTGTCTCCATCTTGTATTCCTTGCCTACTATATTTTAATGAAAACACACACTTTTAATTACATACACACACACACAAAATACTGAGAGGAACGCTGGCTCCTAGGCATGCTGTTTTGTAGCTGTGCGTGACAGAGAACCTAATCAGACCTAGTCAAACATTGTTCTCAGGAGTTTTAATCCAATGTTGGGACCATTGAGTTTCCCACAGGTGAGTAAGAGCCTTAAAAAAAGGGTTTGCAACTAATTTCATAGGGAATTTTGGATCACCAAGCTCATTTCATTAGGCATATGAAGTGGGTTGTAACTATTTTCTCAAACTGAGCTCTCAGTAGTTCACTTGGCAAAATACAATTTCACATTACTCTTTTTCATTTTGATAGGCAGAAATAATAGACCAGGCCCGTTACAGGCCCGTGACAATTTGGATGAATGGTATGAGTACTAGTTATTCGTGAAGAAGATTTCTTTATCCTGGTAATGGAAGGAATTTCATGACATATGAAGTGAAAAAAAGCAGGCTGCTGGAAAATACGAACAATCTGATATAATTATGTAAAATTATATATATCAATGTTTAGTATATGTAGACACGCTTTGAAAGGATACTAAAAAAGGAACACTTGGTTCCCTTTTGGATGAGTGGAGCTGGGAGTTGGGGTATGGATTGAAATCTTTTATGCTTTACTTTATACCCTGTGGCATTAATTGAGTTTTTAGACATAAAAACTATACTAAAAATAAAATTTGGAAATTGTCATTTTAGGAAAATGAAAGGGCCTACAAACAGACTTCAAGTATTGATATTTTCTGCTCCTTCCAGCTATGAAGAAATAACCCTAGGTCAGGTTCCCCGGAGGCAGTGGCCCAAGTACAGCTTCATGTAATTTACTGAGTGCCTGATCACAGGAGAAGACCGAATTCAGTGAACGAAAAGGAACTGGAAAGGGAGAAGCAAGGAAAGGGAGAAGCTGGGAAAGGGATGCAGCTTCTGATGAAGTCTGGTCAGAATCCTGGGCATAAATGACAATGAAGTGTGACCTGCACTGAAGCTAGGGAACTGGGTTTTCTCCCGCTCCCCACACCCCTCCCCTCAGGTCTTAGCTCCGAGTGAATGGTGCATGGAGTAGAGAGTGTTAACTTGCATGCACCTCATGGCAAGCGGGCTCCAGCCACCCAAGGGAGGGCCTTGTGGAAAGGCTGCAGGTGTGAGCCATTAGCTGCTTCACCTGCTGCTGCTGGTGGTGGGCCCCTGGGCCAACTACAGATCCCATAGGAATCTAGGCTGTAACCCCTTTCCCCAGTGAACTGGAGACTGAACTGGAACTAGCTTCCTGATAAGCAAACTTATAAACTGCAAATTGATTTGCGAAATGCCCTTTCTTGTTTGCTTTTCTTTCTTTCTTTCTTTTTTTCTTTTTGGTCATGGAAAAGTATAGGCTATAGGACATTTTAGAGTTTGAAGTATTCAAATGCAAAAATAAGATTAAAAAAAATTACCTTGGAAGAATCCAAGAATCAGTCTGTAAGGTTTTTGCAATTGTGGAAAAATGATCAGGATGCTGAAGAAACTCTGAGCAGCCGAGCAGGGCGCTGCTCAGGAAACAGTGATTATTCTAACCTGGAATTGGCCCTTGTGGAGGGGCCTTTTTTGGTTTTTGTTCTGGAATGTCATGGACAATGTATATCTTAGCATGAATTATATTGCCCTTTCCACTTTGGTTGTTGAGAAAGTTCAAAGTCAAATTAGAATCCAGGGCTCAGTAGTCCAGGCAATATGTCCAAATAAAGGTAGTGTTGATGTTGATCTTGGGGGCTACATTGGAAGGCCTAAAATGTATTTCATGGGCTGACTCACCATCTTTGAGCTTCACAGAGACCCACAGCCCTTGTTCTCGTTAATTTCCCACCCCCTGACCCCATCCAGCAGAAAGGCTCCCCACCTGCTGGTGCCCTGTCAGTCAGACAGAGCACCCTACCCAGTCCTCAACCTAATGCGTTTTCATCTTTCTGCCAGCCCATGACATGATATTATTTCAACAAGCCAATCACATCCTCCACAGGAACAGAGGATTCCCCACCCTCTTATAACCACTCATGAGCCCTCTCAACCCTGCTTGTTCACTCTGCTTCTGCGTGCCCCTCCATGGGACTCTGTAGAGTATCCTCCGTGGGCTCTCAGCATCAGCAACTAGTAAACTGCTGAGAGTCTCATCTGCTCATTGTCAGCTCGTGTGTGTTAGACCGTATCACACTGTATGTAGGGTAAGGCCCCCACTCTCACCAATGGGATGAGGCAGTCAGAATGGAGGGACATTTTGAATTATGAGCCTTCTTGTGAACCTGGTTAGAACCAGCAGTGTGTGCAAACCCTGATGCCACGCCTGGGATGGTGCATGCATGCAAAGCACACGTTGCCTTTTCTGTGCCTATGAAGTGCTGCCTTGCTTCCAAGTAATGCAGGAAGAAAGCTTCAACTTTCAAACTGATCTAACAAAGGAGATGTACTTGGCAAAACAATAGGAGATATATTTGAAAAATACCCACCTTCTAGTTCACTTCTGCTAGCAATAGCAAATCGATTAGCACCCAAGTTATCCAAGCTAACTCGGCTGCTATGAGACCAGGCTGACCTGAGAAACAAATTATTGAAATTTGATCTCTATAAAAGATAAATTTGATTTTTCCTAATTCCATACTCATAAAAATATGAGAAATTACCAGTAGAATCAGTAAGAAGGATTTTCTGTCCATTCATTTTCTAAATTCTCCCTACAAACTCATCTACCCACCTGAGGATTATGAGTTTTATGGAGCAAGATTTGTCTAACATGGCCCTCCCCTCCCACTCCCCAACCCCCCACAGTTATTGGCTTCTGCATACAAATCTGCACCCTTGGTAATCCCAATGGAAGAAAAAACAAAGAAGCTTCCCAAGGTCTAGAGAATTATCTCCCCCAGGGCATTCAGGGAAGACTCTGAGGAACAAATTGTACCAAGTTTATTTCATCAACAATGAAAAATGCCCACAAAGATGCAGCACAGATTTGGTTATTAAAAAATGAAAGCTATTGACTACTTTTGCCTTTTCTCATGCTAACATAGATGGAATAATGTGAAATACTGGAAATAACATATTATTGCCCTCATGGTTTCAAACAATATGGAATGCTCCTGGGTCAGTCTGTGCCTCCTCGGTGGCTTGAGGGCACAAGTGTGGTTCTCTGAATCATAATTTCTGGGGGTGGAGTCTATATTTTATTTGTTTTTTCAAACAACAGTTTCACATATTTACTATGGAGCCATCCTACTAGTGCAGAAGCATACAAACAAAGCGAAAAATAATTTCCTGGACAAACATGTCCAAATAGCAATATGATAGGGCAGGATGCTCATGACCTCAGACCTTGGTGCAGCACAAAAATAGTCACTGTCTCATGGGAGACTCTTCTTACAGGCCCAGTGTGGTTTTGCTCCAGTGTCAACCTGTGGAGTTGTCCCTGATTTTATTATCAGTTTTCACTACATCCCAATAGGGAATGAGACAACTCTGCTTTTGTTCCTTGGCCAGGAATCACTTGATCCTGAGAAGTCATGGTGAGGAACAGTCAGTCAGAGAAGCCGATACAAACCAACATCGGAGAAGAGGAGAGAATGTGAGCATTCTGCATTTGAAACAAACCCTTGGCAGTTCTGATGGTTCCCTGAGATTTGAGAGCCACTGGTGGGACTGGACCCCAGTGAAGTGGTCCCACTTTTACTGCCTTCAACCACCATCTCTACAGATTCAGTCACAGAAAAGGAACAAGATGATTTTAACTTGATACCCAATGTGGCAAAAAATAAATAAATGATTTCAATGTATAGTTTATCTTTGCTGCAGTCTTCTTTCAGATGGGAGCAACTGATTATCCCTCCCAGATATATGGGATTTGCTCCTTGAGTTTTCATAACACCCAGAAAGTTCAGACATGTCCATATTCATTGTGCTACAACATTCCTGTGGAGAAGGGATGGTCGCATGTTTTGGTTGATCTCCACCAGGTGTTTTCAGTATAGGTTGATGCAGTCTACTTAAATATTCAGTGCACCATGTCTATACTCCAAAGCCTGCCAGTGACTATGATGGGAGTGTCCTACACTCATCTTCTCTCAAGAGCTCGGAGGAGGGGAATGATGCTAACAGGGAATCACCTCAAGGGTGGGCCACCCATCACTTTCCAGACTGCCTAGATGTCATCTCCGGATTAAGTCAGACCTTCAGAGAATCTGGTCATGGACCATTTGTCTTGGCCCAAAACTCCTTTTCTGAAGTGCCTTGTCATACATTCTCACATCCATGAAGGTTCTAATATTCTCTTTCAAAGTGTTTTGACAGCATGCTGAACTAATGTACAAGACACGGTCTTTCAGGCTTAACCTGAATTTCTCCCCTAAGGGGCATATTTTTTGGTTTTATGGAAAATATGCACCTCATAGTTGATGGTCTTTTTTCTCTTATTGCTTTGATAGCAAAGAGACTAAAAGCCAAAAATTTAGTCCAGGATTTAGCAATTATTGAGGGCCTATGACTGACGGTGTCCATTGCAGTGGGGTTGGAGGATGTAAGAGAATGAGCACATGCTTTCCAGTTCCTTTGGGTGAGCATCTAGTGTGTTGGTGTAGGGAAAAAAAAAAAAAAAAAAAAAACACCGAGAACCTCGGCATTCCAGTCATCACAACTTTTCTTCTAGATCTATTTTTAAACTATGTATTTTCTTTTTATTTTATTGTGTCAAATATTTAAATACCCTCCAAATTTGCCATGACATAAGATAGACATATAAAGAAAGGAAGCAAGAAAAAAAGGAAATAAAACCTTCTGCTGAGCCATTTCTGGGAAAGGAAATAATTTGCTACTTTTATAGATATTTTGAAATTCTTGATAAACCCTAGCCAACAGAATCCAATAATGCATCAAAAAGATAATTCACCATGACCAAACAGGATTTATTCCAGGGACACAAGGATGGTTCAACATGTGAAAATCAATTAATGTAATCCAACACATCAACAAAAAGAAAAATAAAAACCATATGATCATACTAATAGATGCTGAGAAAGCATTCAACAAAGTTCAACATCCATTTTTGATAAAGGCCCCCGAAATTCTCGGGATAGAAGGAACATACCTTAACATAATCAAGGCCATATATGACAAGCCCATAGCCAATATCATTCTCAATGGTGAAAAGCTGAAAGCTTTTCCCTTAAGATCTGGAACAAGACAAGGATGTCCACTCTCACCACTGCTTTTCAATATAATACTTGAAGTCCTAGCCAGAGCAATAAGACAAGAGAAAGACATACAAGGAATCCAAATAGGGAAGAAGTATCACTATCATTAATCACAGATGACATGATAATATACATAGAGAACCACAAAAACTCCACAGAAAAACTAATGAAAATAATCAACCAGTTCAGTAAAGTAGCAGGATACAAAATCAACACACAAAAATCAGTAGCCTCCCTATATGCAAACTATCAGTCTGAAGAAGAAATTAAGAAAACCATCCCTTTTATAATTGAAACAAAAAAAATCAAATATTTGGGAATAAACCTAACAAAAGAGGTAAAGGACCTATACAAAGAAAACTATAAAACACTGTTAAAAGAAAGAAATGGAAAGACATCCTCTGCTCATGGATTGGAAGAATTAATGTTATCAAAATGGCCATCCTACCAAAAACAATTTACAGATTCAATGCTATTCTAATAAAAATTTCAATGACACTCTTCAAAGAAATAGAACAAATATTGATGAAATTCAGATGGAGATACAAAAACCCTCAAATAGTCAAAGCTCTTCTAACTAAAAAGAAGAGGAATGGAAGTATCACAATCCCGGCCATCAAACTATTCTACAAAGCCATAATAATTAAAACTGCATGATACGGGAACAAAAACAGATGCACAGGCTAATGGAATCGAATAGAAAACCCAGAAATAAACCCACAGACTTATGGACAACTAATCTTTGACAAAGGAGCACAAAATATACAGTGAAACAGTGATAGTTGTTCCATAAATGGTGCTGGGAAAACTGGACTGCTGCATGCAAAAGAATAAAGCTAGACTACTACCTCACACCATGCACAAAAACCAACTCAAAATGGATCAAAGAATTAGATATAAGACCTGAAACCATAAAATATATAGAAGAAAATATAGGCAAAATACTACATAATATACATCTCAGAAACATCTTTAAAACACATCACCTAAAGCAAAGAAAGTGAAGGAAAAGATAAATAGCTGGGACTACATCAAATTAAAGAGCTTCTGTACAGCAAAAGAGACATTAACCAAAACAAAGAGACACCTCACTGATGGGGAGAAAATTTTTGCACTCCATACACCTGATAAGGGACTGAACACAAAGATCTACAAAGAACTCACACGACTCAACAAAAACGAAGTAAACAATACACTCAAAAAATGGGCAGAAGAACTTAAACAATACTTCTCCAAAGAGGAAATGCAAATGGCCAACAGGCAAATGAAAAAATGTTCAACATCCCTCATAATCAGGGAAATGCAAATTAAAACCACAATGAGCTACCACCTTACACCAGTAAGAATGGCACATATCAAAAAAAAACCCCAGCATCTATGAATGTTGATGAGGATGTGGTGAAAAAGGAACTCTCCTACACTGCTGGTAGGAATGCAAACTAGTCCAATCACTATGGAAAGCTGTCTGGAGGTTCCTCAGTTTACTAAAAATGAAGCTACCATATGACCCAGCAATTCCACTCCTAGGGATTTACCCAAAGGACACAAAAACATTAATACAAAAGGTCACCTGCACCCCTACATTTACTGCAGCACTATTTATAATAGGTAAGACTTAGAATCAACCCAAATGCTCAAAATTAGATGACTGGATCAAAATGATGTGATATATATATACACATGGAATACTATTCAGCAATCAAAAAGATAAACTAATGCCATTTGTAGCAACATGGATGGAGCTTGAAGGGATTATGCTCAGTGAAATAAGTCAGAAGGAAAAAGAAAAACACTGGATGTTTTCACTTATAGGAGGAATATAGGGGATCAAGAAAAAAAATAACAACAAAAAAAACCCCCACAACAAAACAAACCAAAAATAGACAACTATAAATCAGAGACATTCCGCAGGGGAGCAGGCAGGAAAGGGATCAAAATGCAGGTGGGAAGAGCATAAGGGACTATGGAGATGGTGCACGGGTAAACTGGTGGTAGAAATTCTATGGGGACTATACCTGAGAAAAGAAAGCAAACATTGTAAGAAAAAATAAATATATAGATTAAAATAAAATTTAAAAAAGAAAGAAGGGGAAGTAACTGACAAAATTTTTTTCAAATTATCCTAATTTTAATGGTCACAGTAAATTCTATTATACATGAAAAAACAGGCATTTTGATAAGCCCTCCTCTATATATCAAGGCAAAGATTTCTGCAACACTCCAGAGATACTAGAAACTGGAAATCGCCAAGATTTGTGACCTGGTTCCTGACAGACCCAAAGCCCTAACCTATATCACTCATCTGCTAATAGCTATTTTTATGCCTACGATTTTTCACAAGCCCCTTCCATCTTTACCAAGGCTCAAAAACATTGGGGAAGGGAGTGTGGGTCCCTGGGCTCATGGTGCTGGAAGGGGAACAAAAGTCAGTGATATGCTTGCTCTGGGTGGAGAAGCAAATACCATTGCCACTTCCCTTCACGGAGTTAGCTCTCTGTGGCCAGACTCCTTGATGTAAGTCGCTTAGGAGGCCATCAGCAAAGCATCTTAGAGTCACTGTGACTCCGGATGAATGCTGAGATGAATTGATATTTGCTCAGTCTCCGTGGCCCCAGAGTCACCCCCTGGGAGATTGTATGGGCCCCACCCCCTCCCTCGACCGTGCTCCCAACTGGTATAACTGTTCAATCCCAGCATTCTCTCCTGCTAAGTCTGAATGCAGCCTCAGAGTCATTCTCATCACATTGTACAGCTAGGGCCTGAGACAGCAGGACAGTGCAAAGCTATGCACCGTGCCAGGCTATAAGATGTGCCTGAGCCACAGGGGCAGTCCCTGTGCCCCAGGGGAGCTGACTTTTTTAGAGGGATGCCGGGCCATTCTCCATAAATGCAGAGTTTGACTTTTTCCTGGCTGTCCATACAGGCTTGGTTTACTTTTAGGCTAGAGCGTGGACATTCTTTTCAAGTCTCCTGCTCAGGAGTCAATGTCAGAGATGTTAGGGACAGTGCTGGTTGATATATGGCCTGGACTGAGCTTAGAACAGGTTCAGTTGGCGCACAGCTGTGTCCATGTGTCTCCAAACATAAGCTCAGTGACTGGGTGTGACTGATGAGTCATGGCCTGGGGAAAGCAGTTAGTGGGGGGTTGCTGCTGAACGCCCTGCCTGCCCCAGTGTCTGAGCCCACAGCCTCTCCCCAGCCCCCAGCACGGACAGGACAACGTGGGGCACAATGTAAATGGCATCACAATGAAGGGAGGATCAGCAAACTGTACACCCTCTCTTTTTTTTTCCTAATTAATGCACACCCTCTTTCTGATCTTCTGTGCTTTAAGTGAAAATGAAACCAGAAAATGCCCAGAAGGGCCAGTGCCAAATAAGGGCTTTCTCCCTCTTTCCCAGCAGAGGGCGCATCCAGCACCTTCCTATCTGGGAGTTAAAAAAAGTGGGGTTGTGGGGAGGACCCCTGACTCCAGGTGACATGTGGCTGGGGAGTGCTTGAAAACTCAGTGGCAACTTTCCAGGGGACCCACAAGTCCTTGCCCTTAAAGTCATTGAGAGAAGTGATCCTGGTAGTTTGAGCTGATACTTCTGATAAAGGGACGTACCTCACATTGATGGCAAACTCAGGGGTTGGTTTGATTACAAAGCACAAAACAAGGCAGATCAGCACACAGAAATATACAGAGGCTGCACATGCTTAGACAGGTGCTTAGCACCGCCCCCGGAAATGCACATGACAAGTCTTCATCTAGAGTCCTAAAGCACAGGGCTCCCCAAGAGGGCTGCCTTGGTGTCGGGGCCCCTAGGAACTTCATCTCACAACAGCAGGAGGGAATGTTTCCAGTCTCTGGTGTCATCCAGAGAGTGCAGGATGACAAATGGGTTGACAGAAGACTTGCACAGCCTAGCCAACGTGCATAGAATGGTTGCCGTATTGTGTTTAAACTCACCGACCAAAAGCACCTCATGCGGCCTGGCCCAACACACAACACTGGTTCACGCCATCAGCGAATCCCAGAGATGCACACAGACACCAGGGAAAGAAGCCAACTTGAGGCCAAGGGAAGATGCCCCAGCACCACTCAGGGCACCCCCCTAAAGGAACCCTACTCTCTGAGATGCCGGCAGGTGGGACAGACCAGATGCTCCAGGGAGAATCAACTTTCTTGACCTTGACAAATTTTACAGCTGTCCTGGGGATGCCTCACCTATTAAATCAAACCAATCTGATGTGGAGTTTCTTTTGTTTCCCAAAGGCAGATGGAGCTATGAAAAAGCACCTTTCTCGTTTTCATACAAGAGCCACTAGAGTAAGAAAAGCCAAGCTACGTCTTCTTTGAAAGTCTCTGCCTTTCTGACTTCAAGGTGCCTGTGGCCGGACGACAACACAGCAGCACCAAGTGACTCCACAGGCCTTGCTCTCGTACAGCCCTGGAGCTGCACGGTGCCTTGAGAGGGTCTCCCATGCTTTGCCTCCCTTACCTCATCTCCTCCAAAAAGAATCCCTTTGAAAACTCTTATGATAGAACCAAACTTCACTCTGAAAAGAACAAAAGTGCATTTCCCAGGCCCAGGCACATAGTTTTAGTTCCCCGGGTGCTTTCTTAAATGCCTGCAGGGAAGGTTTTATTGCCTTTTTGGCCCCCTGCTCCTGCAACAGTGGTGTGTGCGCAGATGTGCCAGGACATGAGCCTGTGTGTGCATGAGTGTGGGTGCATGTGTACATGTGTACGTGTGCGCTTGGGGTGTGATTCTCAGTCCTCATCGGCAGCAAGTCTCCACCTGGACCACACATAGACGCACGCGCTGCACAGGAGGAGCGCGGCCAGCGCGGTATGGCCAAGCACGAGAACCCCGACTGCGAAGAGGTACAGGGTTTTGTCACAGTAATCCTGAGGCTGCTGGAAAGGGGGGATGAAATCAGGCAGGTAAACAGAAAAGACCCAGTAATTGCCCAGAAGGAACCAGAGGAAGAGGAAGAGGCTGAGGACGAGGTGGGTGTAGTATCTGTGTGCGTTCTGTCTCCAGGGATATTCATCGTCGTCGTCGTCGTCCATCACCACGGCCTTGGACAGAAGCTGCCGCATCCTGGTGGAGTCGTAGAGCAGGAATGACGCCTGGATGAGGGTCGGGAGGGAGGGTTGGAGGCACAGCAGCAAAGCAGGCTGGGAGAGGGGACAGAAAACCCGACAGCAGGAGGGGGGAGGGAGATTGATTATGGAAAGTGCACACTCTGGAGCTGGAAATCCTGCCAATGAGTGAAATTTAATTTTGAGGAATCACCAGTGGCAAGAATGAAGCCCCACTCCTTAGCCAGCATTATTCCCCACGGCATTTCCTTTTAGATGTGTGAGTTGCTTTGGACAAGGGGTGGGTTGACTGAAATCCATTTCTGTGCCCAGAGTTTCGCTCTTGCCCTGGTTTGCTTCGCTGGTCTCTGGGTCATTCTGTATCCTCCCTGGCCCCAGTGGCCTGCCCCTCCCCGCTCATGACTATACCCCGGATCTGGTCTTCAACTGGAAATGCCCCTCACGCTCACCCGCCACCCCATCTGACTGCTAGTGCCTGCTGCCCAGTTTTCTCATTCCCGCAGTTCCTTAGCATCATCCAGCCTCATAAAGACTCACCTTTTCCTTTCTTCCGCCATCTCCCAGACACTCAGGCTTACCTGGTCTCACTCTCACTGGTGGGTGGTGCCCCCTCTCCCTCCACCATGCTGGATCCTTCCAGCCCTCTCCAGCCCTTGCATTGCTGTCCTTCCATTAAACCCTCCCAGCAAAACTCCAAACCCAGATCCAGGCCAGCATCTGCTTTCCTGCTCCCTCTGGCTGCTGCCAGCCCACAGTGAGTACCTTTGCAATATTACGTTTCCAGGCACAGTAGTATTGGAGTGGCCTGGGGCAGCTGAGTTTTGCACCCCCAAGCCCTCAGGGGCCCTCAGGTGGCCTCCTGGTTTGGGGACAAACCACAACACAGCTTTTCCCCCAGAATGGGGGGCTCAACTCCAACCCCTGACATCCGGGCACTGCCTGTGAGCCCTGCTGCAGTCTGAACTCCAGCCCTGCTGTCCTGGGAGTGAGGCGCATGGACTCCTTACACTTTCATGGGGACCGTATGAAAGGCACTGGTTAACTCCCTGTTCCCAACTGCAGAGCAAGTGCCACATGCCTTTACCCCCAGGCCAAGGGGGCACTTCAGTCCTGAAGCCTCTGGAGCCCCCTGCCAGCTCCCTAGCTGTAGTTCCACCCGACACCATCAGTGAGCAACCGGACCTTCTCCCTCTCTCTCTGACCTGCTAGTTCTGCCTTTCCCTCTGCTTCATAGTTAAAATAAATCTGTTTTTTTTTTTTCCCTGCATCAAAGGCCCTTTTGTTTTCATTTGTGGTAGCAGATGGCTGGTCCCAGAACTGGGGAGAGAGCTTCTGACCCTGTGACAGTCTTTAGAGCCTTTGCCCCATGACAGGTGGAGTCAGCACTGCCGATTGGTTCTTGTCCTGTCAGTGAGCGGTTCTTACACTCTGGAGAGACCACTTCAAACCACCTCTGTTCTCCAGCGTCCTCTGACCCTCGCCCCTCTTTTGAATTCATTTAGCAAACAGAATCACAGGTGTGCATTTTCTTCGACTTCCTGTTACCCTCCCTACATTCCTTCCTATGTCCCTACATCCACTATTGATCTTCTGTTGGCTTCAGAAGGTGAGGGGGCCACATCTGCAGCCTCTCTCAGGAGACATGCCAGATGGCCAGTCCTCTCCGCCTCCCTTCGCCACTGGTTTCTTCCTCTAGGCCTATAAACATTCTCAAGTGCTTCCTAAGCACCCAGTCCTGGGCCTTCCCTGCTTTGCTCCTATATGCTACATCCTCCAAGACTCTCCACCCTTCCTGAAAGTGGCCATAATTCCCGCCTTCTCCCAGCACCATTCTGTACACGGCTCTCTCCATAGACACTGGTTAATCCCTGTTCCCAACTGCAGAGCAAGTGCCACATGTTCATTCCATTGAATATTTTGCCTCATTTCTCTGGTTCCCCTGGTTCCCCTTCAGATGCTCCTTTTCAATTAAGTTGCCATATTTTTAGTGCCCACTTGGTACCAGACACTCTGACAGACTGAACCATGTGCCCCCAAATTCATAATTGGAGCCCTAACTCGGGATGTGACTGTATTTGGAGACAGGGCCTTTAAGGAGGTCTCGGTCTTGGGTGTTCCCTCTGAAAAAGCAACCATGGAACAACAGTCTCCTTCGCTAAGGAGTCCTGGCTCCCTGCCTTCCCTTTGTCTAGGTATTTGATCTGTAATGCCCTATGCAAACCAACTGTACTTATCTGTTGTCTGCCAGAGTCCCAGGCTCCCCTAAGGCCAATTTCATGGCACCCCTAACCCATGAGAGTTGGATTCAAAAATAATCCTTCCATAACCAAGAATGTGGCAGATTGGTGGGAGGGAAGACTGAGAGAAATGGAAGGGCAGGACAGAGCCGAGAGATTAAGCAGACTGGCTTCCAAAACAAGGAAGCGAAGTTGGTGATAATATGGAGGAAAGCAGAAGTGTTCCAGCTGTGCCTTTGGGTGGGTAATGATTTCAGGGTTGGACTTAGCACATTTTGGTTTAGAATTCTGGAGGGAAGTGTAGGTAGTGGGGACCAGCAGACACGTGGAGCCTGTGAGTCAGGAGCAAGTGGTGAGGGCTGGGGATGGAGCCTGGAGCACACGAACTGGGATACAGTGACCTTGGGAATGGGTGCCAAGGGCTAATGTCCACCATATCCATGAATCTCTCAGCAACCTGAGGTCTGAGGAGTTCAACTGCAAACCTGGAGCCAGCAGGGCAAAACATCAACAATGATTTTCGATTTGTGGTGGCATTTGGGTGATTTGGGTTTTCTTCCTGTGTTTGTCAATATTCTCTTCCACAATGAAGAGTCTTCATTGAACTCAATATTCTTTTCTACTTATGAAAAGACAATAAAACCTAAGTGATTAATCTAATACTTGCCTTATTTGGGTCCCATTTAATGCTTCCGCTAATGTAAAAACTATATTTTTTGGCACTGTTTTATGGATGAAGAAATAAAGGTTCAGAGAAGTTGAGTCACTTGACTCAGGTCCACAGGGAGTAAAAAAAAGGATGAAATGGTGTGGAGCCACACCTCTGACAACTGTCTATACCACACTACACTGATGGAGGATAAGATCCAGGAAAGGACTCCCATTTGGTTCAACTGCCCAGGTTTTCCAGAAATCAGACTGGCAACCTGGCTGGGGACAGAACATTTCCATAAAAAAAGGAAAGTGAGGGCTTAGAGGGGTCCAGAGAGCCACTAGCATAGAAATGTCACACTCAAGGAGGGCTTCCTGGAAGTGGAGGCATTATCCAGATCCCCAAAGGGAGAGGCAAGAGACACCTCTTTGGCGGGGGGGAGCAGCATGTCAAAGGCAAAGTATGGTGGGTTTGGAGAACAGGACAAAACCAGTTTGAAGCAAGGCAGCCAAGGGGGACTGTGGGGCAGGCTGGTTGGGCTGAACACCAGCTCTACCATTTACTGTGCAAATTACTCAAGAGAAGCAACCTCTAAGCCTGTTTCCTCATCAATAGCTACAGTTGCTTGTAAAGTTAAAGCTTCCATCTATTAGCATCCATTTTCTTTCCTCTCAGGGCCCCCATTGCTTGGGAAATGCCCCCTACCCATCATGTGTCTATGGGAGGGTAAATCCCAGTACCTGCCCTCCTGGCAAGTGCCTTTCCCACACTCTTGGCACATCAGGGGATAGCGGGACCCTAGGCCCACAGATTTGGTTACACTCCCGGGACAGGTTCTTAGTCACAGCGAAGCCAGGAGAAAACAGCTAGTTGGGCTCATTCATTTCCCTGCTGCCCAGGCTCCCTGGAGCCAAGTGGTTCCTTTCTATTTGGCCAACCTTTGAATAAATTACCTTTTATGTTAGTCAGAGTTGATTTTTTGTACCTTCCCAAGTGACTGCCTTAAAAGAGTATTATGACGGCTGAATGAGTTCAAAATGGGGCCAAAACCCTTACTTAGCACAGCGCCTGGCAGGTAGTGAGAGCAGGGAGTGCTGGCAATCCTGACTAGGGGGGATGCTGGGAGACAGGAGGGAGCACTAGGTAGATGAGCGGTCACTGAATCAGTGTTACTGACATGTCCCTCTAACAGGGCCCTCAAGAACAAATACATTTCCCTTCTGACCTAGCACATGGGTGACTATATTCTCACTGACCCGAAGAAGTCTTGGCTTAGGCTGCATTCCTGGTGTGATTACTGTTAGTGCTCCTTCGGGCTCTCTAGGGCGCCCAGCTTGAATGATAAATCACATGGTCAACACACCCAAACACACGCATGTGTCACACAGAGCTTACCAGAAGCCACAATAATATTTCCTATTCCTTTTATTTGAAGTGGTCACAACCTTCTAAATTTATTTCATGATCTTCTAACAGGTCATGACTGTCATGTTTTTTGATAACTCAGGGAAATAGCAACTCACTTCTCAGCTTTCTCTTCAATAAAACGCAGTACTGGGGTGCTACCTGATCATTTCAGAAAAGGTGTGGGCATCTCCTGGCTGAGTACTGAGGGCTTAATGATGAAGTATTGACTTGAGTGAGAGATGTCACTATCTGGGGACCCGAGAAACCTGTTTGCTGTTGTTTTAATGGTTATAGACTTGCTGCATATTGCCTCCCTCTGATGAACACAAAAATTTAATTTGGCTTCAAGCAGTTTTAAATTGCCAGGGGGAAAAAAATCAATGCTGTTTATTAGGGCCCTTGTTTGTTCATTAAAATAAATTACCTGTGGGTTCTGGGCTGGCTTTCATAAAGAAAAAGTTTGCTGTTATTAAGAGGAGCAGACCCCATGGAGGATAACATCTCTGAAGGAAAGTTCCACTGGCAGGCTGAAGATGAGGTAGTGGGTGAGCGTGGGCAGGCAGAGGTAATTACTGCCGAAAATCCTGCCCATGTTTTGAGCATCTCTATGGCACTCAATCCATCAGAGCCTTCCCCTAACACTCCGGGGACAGGGAGCCCAGAGCTCCTTGGTGCTCCAAGGAGTCCCAGCCTAATGCCACAGGGACGTTGTTACGGGGAGGATCCCGTGCGCATGTACATTCCAGAACTTGGCCCACATGCTGCTGTTGGGAGATGAGGACATTTACTAGTGAGCAAACCTCAGACACAAAACAGACATGTTTCCCAAGACAGAACTGAGCTATGGCTACTGACTGCATATGACAACAGCAACCCAGATGGCATTCCTTCGTCTTGGGTCACTGTCATGGTTGGTGACAATGGCCACCCTCTCCCAAAGGCCCCAGGAGCCAGAAGGAAGCTGGCAAAGCTATCATACAGGGGGTGCAAAGAAAACAAACAGTATATATGGCACTCGATTCTGTTTTCTCATGTGCTGTTGTTTTGTTTTTATGAAACTATTTTGGGAAAATGAATGCTGCATTTTCTAGCTTTTATGTAGGAAAATCTGAGGGAGGCTCAGTTGGTGGAGAATGACCAGTGATCATAGAGTTAGACCTAAGGCACTTTTGGTAGGTGTGACACTTCTGTGGACCGGGGATCTTGGAAACGTAATTGCAAGCTATGGAGGACTCTCAATATTTCTTTTCCTTTCACCTTCCCTGTTTGGACAAATGTCAGAACTACCCACAGACAAATCAGCTCCTTATACAGACATAAGCTCAAGAAGCACAGAGAAACACGCCTAGCTCTACTTCAGAGTTTAACGTATGATGACTGCAGCCAACAAATTCAATGCTCATCAACGAATAATTAGGAGCTGCATAGAAATAAGAACCACAAGAGTCAAATACATTTAGTCAAATGCAACCCTACTGCTCTACATAGGAAACCTAAAAAAAGAAAGAAAGAAAGACAGAGAAGGACAAATACACTGGCTGAATCCAGTGGTGTGACTCTACGCCAAGTATTGTTGGACCAAAGTCACAATTTAGCTGGTTGAACTCGGGGCAGCAGAAGGAAAGCTATTGCAAAGATGCAGAGTCCTGGGTGAATGGGCATCTGGAAAACTGTGTCTCTACAACAGGCCTCAGGATCCAGCTCTCCCTGTAGCTTCAACAGCCCTACATTTACAGACAGTAATTCTGGCTTCCCTGGGATAACCAACAATGAAAGAATGCTTACAAAGTTAAATTTTTGCAAGAACTAAAAACAACAAATAAAAATGCTTTACCTTCAAGGCCCCAATGATCCCACCCACTAGCAAATACAGAGGAATGAGGGGCTGGATGGGGCAGTCCTCCAAAAACTTCATCCCTGCAAAGGGAGAGAGCAGAACAGGATTGAGAGAAATGCATTCAAGAGTCCCAGGCTTAACTGTGCTTAACCCAGGCAAAACACTGGGGTATGACAATGAGGTAAACATCTACAAAAGCCAAATGTCAATCGCACAACCAACTTGATCCCCTGCCTGGGGAGATGCTTGGTGTTCCCAGTCACTGCACCTGCAGGATGCTCGGTGGGCTGGACAGCTGTTTCCCCAGACTTCAGACAGAGCAGGGACCAGACATTGCTGCTTCGCCTGATAAAAGGCGTGCTCTGCCTCACGAAGGAACTAACACTTCCACTGTGTAAACTGAGGCTCACATTTTGTCTGCTTCCAGAGCCCAGGTGGCAAGGAGAAGCCTGCAAGAGATCTCTTCTTCCTCCATTCCCTCCAGCACACAATCATCAGTTAGATTAGTTGTAAGTACCACGTTGTCACCGTTGATTGGTTCATTTACCCAACCCCATGCTGGGTAACGCGTGTTCACTACCATCTCCTTAGCCACTAGATTGGAAAAACTACTAATTAAATCACCCCAGACCCATACCCTTTCTTTTTTTTTTTTTTTAATTTTTTTTTTTTTAATAGAGGCATGTTTTATTTATTTATTTGTTTGTTTGTTTTGTTTATACAAGCACTGGGTACAGTCAGAAGCGCGGGAGGGTGAGAATTCACCAGAGCCAGAGCGGGGAGCAGAGCAGGCAGAAGGACCAAAGTACACTGCTGAGGGGAGCAGCGGGCGGCAGGAGAGGTCTGCGCACCATGTGGGACCCTCCTCTGGTGGCCGGGGAGCAGCCGGGGATCGAACCGGCGCCGCTGAGGCCGCGGGCAGCTTCGCAACCCAGCGCTCAACCGCTGTGCCACCGGGGAGGCCCCCATACCCTTTCTTAAGGATCATTTTTCTCTTAAACCAATATTTTCTCTGCTTTCCTCAAGTGTATGTTTTTTAAGGCTGTTACTAATCAATGGTGAGTTGTATGTGTTATTTAAAATATAAGGAAGAAATACGCCACCTGGCTCAAATGTGCAGGCTTGAGATGGGTTCCGCGCATAAGGTGGCTGCTCAGAGCGTGCCCCTCTCATTTATCAGCCCCCTAGTGGGTACCCCTGTCCCTTGTGACTAATTCTAGCCAATGGCAGTGGGACACTTCGGGACCCAAACCATTTAAAAATGAACACATGATCCTTCATTTTCTTGCCTTTCTTTGACCATCTGGAGACCTTGGATGGAGATGGCGAGCTTTCAGGATTGAAGCAACTTGGTGTGTTAAGTCATCACATTCCCTGAGGATCCCCCGGAGCTCCTGATCCACATGGAATTTTCACAAGCAAGAAATAAACTTTTATAATATCAAGCCAGTGAGATCCCAGTATTCACTTGTTACAGGTGCATAGTTAAGTTACCCTGACCACCACATTTGTTAACAGAGCCCAAGATCTCGGATGGCCGTGGGAGAACCAAAGTCTTCTGTTTAAATAATTTTTTTTAAAGATTTATTTTATTTGTTATTTATACAAGCACTGGGTACAGTCAGAAGCGCGGGAGGGTGAGAGAATTCACCAGAGCCAGAGCGGGGAGCAGAGCAGGCAGAAGGACCGAAGTACACTGCTGAGGGGAGCAGCGGGCAGCAGGAGAGGTCTGCGCACCATGTGGGACCCTCCGGTGGCCGGGGAGCAGCCGGGGATCGAACCGCTGCAGAGGCTGCGGGCAGCTTCGCAACCCAGCGCTCAACCGCTGCGCCACTGGGGAGGCCCTAAATAATATTTTAAGCATGTTAACCCAGATTCTGTAAGATCTGGTTGAAGCAAAAACATGTGTTTATTTGGGGGTTTGTTTTTTCTGCAGCCCAGGAGATATCAATTCAAGACATCCTGGAATCCTGTTCTGGGGTTCAGAAGAGGCTTACAGGGGCTAAAATTACAAAGGAGAGGGTGCTATTCACTATGTAAATCAGGCAAAAACTTGTAAAATAGTAATAGATAGTTAGGTGCAAAGTTGGTCAGGCATTGTGATGGGTATAGATGTGGGTGTTTGTCAAGCAAAGATAGGTACCAGCCTCTGGGCAGCCTTAGAAGGAGGTTTCTGAATGGTCCATCTGCCTTCCTTACTAGATGCTGACCCAGGAAGTGGCGGACTGGCTTAGCTTGGTCCCTGCCCGAGGTGGACTGGATATGTCTGGACATGCTTGAGGCTGAATTCTCAATGGCCTCCCGACTTCATTTGTTACTCTGACTTAGTGACTGTTTACTTTCTTATTTCTTGTCAAGGGTCAAATTTTGATTTGATATTTTGTTTCCCATAAAAGTCTCAAGCAAAAGGAATAACCCCTTTTCCTATGACTATACTATATTTTGCTGAAATTAATAAAAAATTTCTAGGTATACAATGATCCATAAATTCGGGATGCCTAAAAGAGTCAAGTCAAATTAATAGGCTGATCCAATCATCTGCCTGTGGAGACTTGCCTTTCTCCTTATCTCTGATGTTTAGCTGAGTCTCTTATTAGATGGAAATACTTTCCAAGTCTCAACACAACCTTTTCACGCAAAGACCTTTAAATACTTGATGCCAAAGATGGCGAATATAAACTGCCTTTCAATTCAAAACCCACTGTGAGATGAACATTGAGTAATGACTTATATATCTGCTCATTCCTAATGAATAAAAACAGCTGCTGCTCACAGGAGAGTCAATCAGGGCACAGATGGCTTAAGAGGATCCTAATAAATTTAATAAAATTGTCTTTCCCTTGTGTTCTTCATGTCTTGCTTAGGACCTACCTTACCTCTAGATTTTCTGTCTGATCCACCATATCACAATTACCCTTTGAACATTTTTTGGCCAATATTTTGTTTTTTTATAAATTATTTTTACATGTTGTATTGTGATAAAATGCATATGTAACAAAATATTTTACCATCATAACCATCTTTACAAGACAGTGACACTATTCACCATCTTGTGCAACCACTACCACTCTCTATTTCCAAAGCTTCGTCATCACCAGAACCAGACACTCTACAATTATTAAGCAGTTACTTACTCAATACCCCCCTTCCAAAGTGGATGTAGTGAATCTAATAGAACATCTATGGGAATTGGCCTGTGGACTCTTGTCTCATTTATGTAGCCTTGTTAGTGAATGAGCTGTTCCAGTTAACTTCATTTTCCATTTAACCACAAGCTGCAAAAGCTATCTATCTGCCTGTCTGTCTATCTATCTATCTATCTATCTATCTATCTATCTATCTATCTATCTATCTGCCTACCTACCTACCTACCTACCTACCTACCTACCTACCTACTTCTACCTAACTACCTACCTACCTATTAATCTATAAAAATCTTTTACTAAACGCCTAGAACATTGTCTTAAGGGTTTTTCCGACTTCCTAAGCATGGTGTACCTAACATCTTATAAATTCTTCTTGAGATAGCACAATCATACAGGAAATGCTAATTTTTGAATTGTACTGTAATAATGATAGCTTCAGGGCCTATTAAAGTGGTTGAATTGTTTGCCATTACACTAAATGGCTCCAGGCTACTTGGCTATTTTAGTTCTCTGCAAACGTTCAAACCTTATTTTGTCAGTGTATTTCCTGACAAGCTGTCGACTTGCACTTGCTATAAATCTGAAAGTACCATTTTTGTATTCATTTTTGTTTCTTAGTATTGTTGTTTTTTTATTAAGGTGAAATTCACATAATATGAAACTAACCATTTTAAAATGAACAATCCAGTGGCATTTAATGTATTCACAATGTTGTGTGAGTATCATTTTGATCTAGTTCCAAAATATTTTCATCATCCAAAAGAGATCCGGTACCCATTAAGCAGTGAAGGTGCAGAGTTTTGTTTTGTTTTTGCAACATCTCTGCTTAATTCCTGCTCTAATATGCTTTGAACTTGGGACCTGGAACACCAAGCTTGCTAGGCCTCTGTGTAAATAGGGGTAACTCGCTTTTGTGCACAAAACATTTAATGACATGAGTTTAATTTCAGTGACCATGATTTTTGGCTACTCAAGGAGGTGCCCAGCCCCTGGATTCCCCCCATAATTCACAAATCTGGATAGTTGACACTGTTTAATATATGTGACTGATGGAAATAATCATTCATTCAGAAAAAAAATGCATAGATCCCCCCCAGTTCCATAGCGCAAGTTACAGTTTCCATATTGCTCCTGATGGGTTTCCATGTGGGGACATAATGAATAAAAACAGCTGCTAAGAAAGGATCTGAGAAGATCTGAGAAGGGACCTTGGGAAAGGAGTCCCAGCCAGGGCTGAGACACTAACATCATCTGCTGACATCTGTTCCTACCCTAGACATACTACATCAATATCTCCCAGGCAGGGCCCAGGACCCTGTCTTAAAAAAGATATTCACCTAGTAATTCTGTTACAATGGATACATGTTCGGAAATGACTGGTGTGGGTCAGCTCTTCCTTAGCAAGCATTTTGTGTTTAAAGATGTCATATTCTATGTCTACCGTGGCTGACCTGTGGCATCCAGCAATTCAGAAGCCAGCTCACCTGTGAAAGCCATGGACAGAGGCAACACGAGGAAAGCAAAGAGCACCAAGATGAAGCAGGCTGCAAAGACAGAAGGGACGAGCACCAGTTAGGGACAAGTAGACCCTTTCATTTTGGCTGCTATTTACTCATGCATTCCATGACACCTAACCTTCTCTTAAGTCAGCAGGTGACAGGAGGAGGTCACCATCTGCCCGGGGCTTCTACTCAAGAGGAAGGGGCATAAGCCAAGACTTGCATCTCTGAGGGAGCTGACCGTCTCCTATGATCACGCTGCCAATTCTAAGACTCGGATTTCCTGTACAACCTCCCCAAAGTCTGACAGCTTGTAGAAAAGGAGTTTAAAAAACACTGTTCTGCCAGGACCAGGTTCCTGAAACTATTGGCATTAACTGAACCATGGGTTATCGACCCTGTGCTTCCTGGAGTCTGTCTCCTCTAGAGATTGTTCTTCCCTTCCCTGCCTGAGATTCACTGGCAACTTACTTTATCACTCAAAGAATTTGTTTCATGAATTCTCTTCTATCTATTTTGTTATTTATCTCATAGTGTATGGATGTAGCTAGCTAGCTAGGTAATTATCTTATCCATCCACCCATCATTCCATCCACCCATCCATCCATCTATCTGAAACCTCTCATGACACAGTGGAATAGCATTCTGAACTGTCTTGGGGTTTTTCTTCCTGTTCACATATTCAATTCTCTCCTCTGGCAGTAGGGGAGGGCAGAGGCATGGGAGTGAGACAGGCCTGGGTGACCATCCGGACTCTGTCACTCATGACTTCAGGCAAATTAGTTGACTTCCTAAAGGTTCGTTTCCCTCTTCTGTAAAATTGTTAGCAGAAGCACACACAGGTTCAGTGTATGGCAACTATTATGATTAGGCAGTCACTTCCCCTTGTTGACCTTGGTTTTCTTATTTGTTAAATGGTCTGCAGATATAAGTTCTGCTTTGCCAGATTTTTAAAAAATTATTAATTTGAATGTCTTTGGTGTTGGTTTACATTCCAGTTTCCACTTCTAAAATTTAGATGGCCTCACCCACTCATGCGTTCTACGTGGTCCTGATGCCATGACAGCAAAGATGGGGTGCCTGAGGTGGACATTGTGGGAGCCTCCCCAGAATCCACTCCTTTTTCACTCAGTAATCACCTCAATTTTGTTCTGGTCTCCCCAGAGTCTTTGTTTTTAAAGATTTATTTATGCATACAAGAACAGGGGTACAGGCCAGAGGTGTGGAGGGTGAGAGGATTCACCAGAGACAGAGTGGGGAGCAGAACAGGCAGATTGACTGAAATACACTGCTGAGGGGAGCAGCGGGCAAGGCAGGAGAGGTCTGCTGCGCCATGTGGGTTGCTCCCTGGACGGCTGGGGGATCGAACTTGTGCTGCAGTGGCTGCAGATAGCTTCATAGGTTGCGTCTTAACCCTTTGCGCCACCAGGGAGGCCCCTCCCCAGGTTCTTAGTCTCCAATCTAGTTTGTGTATTCTGGTACAAGCTGAATCCTCACGGAGAAGGGCATGAGCGTTAGCCCTAAAGCAATCACCAGAGTCATCTCACTGTATAGACTATTAGTTGGAATGGGCTCAAAACTCATTTTGGACCAAGTTCTCGAGGTCAGAGTTACTGAATGTATGGGGAAAAAGCTTTCTCATTCTTCTGACAGAATTTCCAGAACCAAGTCTTCTCTCCCTCCCGGGATACTGGCAGAGGATCAAGTTCTTCTGAGGAATCTTGTCTGCCATCCTGCCACCAGGAAAGGGAACGAGGCTGACACAAGGAGGAGAGCTAAAAGAAACTAAGTCCTCAGTGGTGTGTGTTACCTATCGAATCACACCATCTACAAAGTTAAAGGACTTCTGGACTTTCCATTGACATGAACCAGCAATCCTCTTTAACCCACTGTTATTAGTTTAATCTACAAGGTCAATTCCAATTTTGGATTGTTAAAGATTTCAGATGTACTTGTGAATCTCAGTCAACTCCAGAGGAGGCGGCAAATGTCTGCAGCAAGAGCCCTGCATTCATAGCACTGCTTGGAAGCTCTGACACACTTGTCCAAGCAGAATCAGACAGGCAGGGCACTGCCCCTCCCCTTAAATGGTCCTTCACACCAATCTTGACCTTCACCTCCAGGAAATATCAAGAAGAGTAGGCAGGGCCTCCCTGGTGGTGCAGGGATTGAAGACACAGCGCTATCAAGCTATCACCAGCCACTGCAGCATGAGTTCGATCCTGGCCAGGGAGCTGACCCACATGGCACAGCAGACCTCTCCTATCTCGCCTGCTGCTCCCCTCAGCAGTGTCTTTCAGTAGATCTGCCTGTTCAGCTCCCCACTCTGTCTCTGGTGAATCCTCTCACTGCCTACACCTCAGTTCTTGTATGTATAAATAAATAAAAATAAATCTTGGGAAAAAAAGAAGAGTAGGCATACAGAGTGATTTGCCCCAATTTTCATACCTCCCCTCAAACCACCCTTCTCTGAATTAGCTAGAATACTAATCATCAGGCCAGCTTCATGGGTCTGCAAGCTGTGCAGGCACAGGGCCCATGCTTAGGAGGGTCTGGCATTTAGTCTAATGCTCTTCCCTTGTCATCTTGAAATTCTTAATGAATTATCTTTGAGCTTGTATTTTGTAAGTGAAGTTCGATGGGTTAAAAGAGTAAGAGTGTGAGAAGATAGGGGCAGTGCATGTCTGCTGCTCCTTGGTGCTGCATTTTCAAATTCTGGTGGGAATTTGAGATGAGGTGTGGAAGTTGAGCAAGACTCAGAATGAATGCCTGGTAAGTGTCACGCCTTCAACTGAACAAGCTGGGGCCCCAACAACCCTGAGAGGCTACATTTTCCATTTGATCCAGAACTTGCTTCAGATGCGGACACATCCTTTCTTACAGAGAACTTCCCTCTATTAGCAGCTACCCAACCCCCAAAGCCTAGAAGGGAAGGGAGAGACAGGGCAACCGCCAGTGCTGCTCCTTCCAAGACAGCCTCATTCCGCAGTAAGCAGGAGGTAGGGGTGTGGTAGAAAGCACACTCTGTCAAAAAATGAAGTAAAAGCAGTCGTGCTTTCGTACATTTTTTCCACTGTTCTGGCAAAAACAAAATTCTGTGTGTGCAAGAGCTATGAAATTGTTACAAATGGTGCAGTTTCAGCGACTGCATACCTAAGTTAAATGTTCTAAGAACTACATTCGAAATTACACAGATTTAGGATGAATGGCAAACTTTATGCCAATAATTGAAAAGTTTATTAATGTTTTTCATTTTTTCTTAAAACACATTTTCTTTACTTAAAAACAACAAATAAATAAAACTATGACAAATCAAAAGAAACTGCAGAAGAAAGGAAAACATTTGATATTATTTCCAGTACCTTCAACAGCATTTTTCTTGCTTTTTGAACAAGGTATGACATTGTCATTTTGCAATTGGAGCCTGCACGTTATATAGTCAGGCTTGTTGATGGCAGTGACTCAGCACTGCTGACAGTGACAATTAAAGAGAGTTTCAGTCGATCTAGTCACATCTGTTTTAATTTCCAGTTTCAAGTGGGGGGCAAGGAAGAAATTTCTTGCTGGCAAATAATAGAACGGCAAGAAGCTAATGAATCCCATCTTGATTTCTAGCCTCGAGCTTGTTACCAGGATGACAAAGTGATCAGCATCCTGGAAAACCCTTCACTGTGGGGGGAACCTGTGACAGATGGTGCCACCTGCCTCATGTGCAATCCAGGTGTTCAGTGACACAGAGACAGGAGCAGCCCCTAGGAGGCCCTGTACAGAGGCTTCCTGGCGTGGAGCAAGGCTAACTGAGAAGGCCTGGTCCAGAACATTCCTAATGACCACCCTGAGGACACAGTGACACCCTGGAGCTGGGTCGCCGGCTTCATGTCCCACCCCAATAGCCTGTGGTGCCAACACAGGCCTCTTAACCCCTACACTTTAAATGCCCTCATTTAATACATGAGCATAATTATTAGACGTTTCTAACAGACTGCGAAAATGATCACATATCATAACCCATGCAAGGCACTCAGCACAGGGTCTGCTACATGATAAACACTTGATAATGTGAGCCATTATCGTTGCTGTCTTTCTCCCTTCATGGTACAGAGTGGCTTCCCCTTCACTTCAGACCCGTCCTAGGGAGCAAAAGGAGAAATAAAACAAGTGAGAGAGCTCTGTGGCTCCATGAACTTTGAAAGAGCTGAAATGGCCTTGTTCTAAACTTGACAGGCCCTGGGGGGGGCCACAGGCTGAGACCCAGTTTCACTAAAGTCACTGCCAGCCAGGCCTGAGAAGGCTCACTTCTGCCCTCTCCATCTCAGAGCTCTTGTCACAGACTCTCAGTGGCCTCTCTACGCTCACAAAAGCAGAGTCTCTACGAACAGGGCCTGGGAATCTGCATTTAAAGCCGTTCCGCTGGCAATTGTGAATTGGTGATCCACACACCATCTTTTTTGTAAGCAGGGCTGGAGATGCTTCTGCCAGGCATTCCTGAGAGTCTGTTTGTACAGAAAGTGTGAGGAGCTGGGGCTGGGCAGATGCTGTGGGATCTTGCTGGGATAGAGGTAGTTAGCAGTTAATACCACTGGGGTTTCTTTATCCCTAGGACCTACTAGGAACCCCCAGACCACAGTCAGGGATGAGAAGCCTGGCAGCAGTCCTGGCTCATGGAGCTCTGTGAAACAGAGGCTGAGTTTCCCGGTGGCCCTCACTGAAGCAGGACAGTGGCCTGACAGCAGGGACCACAGCAAACAGCCCCTGCTATGCCTCTGAGTTTATTAAGGCCGTTCCAAGGTGACTCAGGGTACTGCATTCTAGGTCCTCATAAAATGAGTTTCTAACTATAATGTCAGTTAGCTACAGAGCTAAATCAACTGAGGGTCCCAAAGGAGAAAATAATTCAGAATTAGAGCAATGCTGGGAGGGTATTAGAATCAAGGGGTTGGAGCCAGATCAGACTTTATTCCAAAAATTCTGATAAACTGGTTTCTGACTTACTGCAGTTTGCGGAAATAAAGGGCCCCCTGCCGGGGTTCCCCTCAGGACGCCAG